GGCGGCCGCTGAGGCTTCTGGTGGTGGTGGCACTTGCACGAAGCCTTGCTGGTGCCACGCCTGGTAGCTGTCATGGCGCGGAGCATCGTGGTGGTGGAATGTCGGCGGTGAGGTGGCCGTCATCGCCTGGGCGTGGTAGGCGCCGCACGTCGCCAGGGTCGTCGTGGGGATGAAGCCCCCGGCGTACTGGGCGTCCGAGAGGGAGCCCAGGTCGAAGCTGTCCTCTGGCTGCAGCAGCGAGAAGTCGAGGCGGTCGAGCATGCGGTCCTGGTCGTACTCTATTGGAGGTTGCGGCTGCGGCAGCGGGGGTGTCAGAGGTGCGGGCCTGGCTGCCGCCCTGGTCGACAGAGACGTTGTAGGCTGGTTTGGCGAGAGCTGGCTGCTTCTGCTGTGGGATCTCCGCGGCGGCGGCGGAGGGTTGGACGGGGAGTCCTCCCTGGCTGCTGATGCTGCACCTTCGGTAGATCTGACGCGGTTCTTCTTGCCCCGGCGGGAGCCTCTGGAGCTGGACCGGGTGTACTCGCACTGGAGCTTGTTGGCTGCACACCGTTCGCAGCCGTCCTTCTCCCCACTGCATTTGAGCTGTCACATGTCAGTACTGTGATTCTCTGTAGCTACGAGATCGATAGAGTGTCTAAGAGGGAGTTCGAGGGACTAATGGCTCGAATTGTGCTGGGTGGGATGGGGACTTTGGTGCAATTCGATTCTTCTTGAGCATCGATGCTACAGACACTTCGATGGAGGCAGACTGGAAGAGCAATATCCGGCGAGGTGGGACACTTGACATGCATGTGTATGGACATACCTTCTTCTCGTGACAGCGGTTGCATGCCTGGTGCTGGCTTGATCGTGCTGTGATGGGGTCGAAGGCCTGACGCAGGTTCTGCACCTCGTCGGTCTCAGGGTCGTACTTCCACGTGCCAAACATGACGTCGTCCTTGTGTATGTCTGTATGCGGGTGTGGGTGTTGGACGCTGCGAGAAATGTCCAATTGGGTTGGTTACTGAAACACACACACTCGCTGCTGCGGTGTCTTGTGATGCTGGGCGATGTTCTGGAAACTCTGCTTCTCGCAGGGTATTACCATAGTTGGAGAGATCCGAGAGATTGTAGTCGGCGACGTGGTGCTTCTTTAATATATAAAACTGGCCTGGATGGGGCAAAAACAGAGCCAGGTATTATATATACTACTGCAGGGAATATGGGATCGAAGAAAACTTCACCCGTCGAATCCTCCACCACCGGCATGGGAGTGTAAGGTAGGGGGGTAAGAGGGTCCCCAACGCCCCGTGCCGCATGTATGGGATTTTCGGCATTACCAGAGCCCAGACCATCGTGCTTTTGGTCGTAGCAGCCGTTAGTTGAACGGTGCTGGCGTGCCCATCAACGAAACCCGCGCGAAGAGGAGGGGAGGGGGGGGGCCAAGAGCAAGATGGGAGGCCAAAGCACAGGGCCGGGGGTGGGAGAGACGACACACGCCTGGCGTTTTCCCAATCCCACGCCCATTCTCCACAAGCTAAGAATCAAGCTGGACTGAAGCTCTGGCAATGACGTGCCGGGATGTCTAATCTAGGATAGGATGGGGCGTCTTTTTGTTGTAGGTAGGGGGAAGGGTGTGGGTGGGCAGGGTGAGTAGGACCCGCGAGAGAGGGACCCGGATCGCCAAAGCCCGACACGGAAACCCCAACTGCCTGACATGCGGTAGCTACAGCATCAATAGGGCACGGAAAAGGCAAAAAGGCATGCAGCAGCACGAGCATGGGGAGCTATGCGAGTTGGGGTAAGAACTCAAGTCGGCGGGGGCCAGTCTTACCGGGGGCGTTGCTGGGGGGCACGATGGATGTCTGTGGCAATATCGTAGATAAAAAAAGAGCCGCCTTGTCATACTGCCGCACATGCAACGCGAGCAGTGAGAAAGCAGACGCCCGCGATGGAACATTGGCCATGGCCTTGGGAATCTTCTCCCGGGGGTGGGGAGGCGAGCTAAAAGTGCACTACACAGTCGATCTCATCAGGGTGCTTTTGACATTCACAAATTGGGGGTCAACGTTGCGTTGACTGGCTCGAGATGGCTACAGGGGCTTCGGCGTGTGTTTCCTGTGCCATCCCACTCGCACTCCCGTCCCCATCGAGCGCCCGCCTAGGACATCTCGACTAGGCATGAGGTACGGCAGTGCAGGAGCTGGCAGATAGAGCTGGCCGGCGTTGTAGGGCTACACATCCAGGGCCAGGGCCAGCTCTGGTTCAAGCTCGCACCGCATCATCCGCCCGTTGAATCATACGTAGTTGGCGGGGTGGTTTCCGGCTCAGGGGCACGGGCACGGGAGAAGACTGGTCCCTGGCCTGCATTGCTGTGGATGGGCTGGAATGTCACAGGGCCCACAGCCGGTCGATTCTCCCAAGATTGATCCAGTGCAAGATTGGGCCGCCAGTCCACCCACGCCCAGCGTTGCATCTGCTTGGGGGCACCGCACATGGAAACGGTGGAATCTCCACGGAGGGTCTACAGGCCCAGCAGCTCGGCAGCAGCAGGAGAGGTCAAGCAGCGCAGGGTGCAGCTGCTGGCCGAGCACGCATGAGCGACGGGAAAACGTGGCTTGGGCATATGTGGTCGCCCGTAGGACGAACCGGACATTCTTCCCAGGTGGGCTGGTGTCTAGGCTGTAAACGGGCGATGCTGAGGTGAGGTGCGTTTCTGGCCAGTCGGAGCATCGCGCGAAGAAAGTTACAGTCAACGTTACTTGGAGCTACAGCTAGAACTAGCTCCCATTGCACTACAACACCCATCTCACAATTTCTCATACTTTCTCATGATGACTTGAGACTGTTGCTCTATGTCTCAGGTATTGTTTTTGCCTTTCATCGCCGACGTTAGCTGGCCACTCTATTAATTGGCATCGCAGCCTATTTTTGGTGTTTTCCCAATCCCGGGCTGCAGATTGTGGCGAGTGTTCGGCAACGTCCCCATCGGTCAACAACCAGCGAGCCGCGGCACCTACTAGGCAAGCGTCCATCTGCTATGTACAATCCCGTCCTTCAATCCCGACTGAATGGGATAGGCTGGAGGGCAGCGAGGACCCAGAATATTAGAGTATGCTGCCTTGTTTCGCAATTGCGAGGGCTTCTTTTGCCGGCGTGCTAACTGCAGGGCCTGCTCCAGCTAAAGTTGCCCTAGACGACAGCGGGCTTGGTGGTGTTCTTAGTGGCGACCAGTGGTACGACTCTGCACCTCACACCCATGTCGCTGGCCGTGTTCCATTGCCCGCTGCCCTTGTCCGTGCATCGAGTTGCAGTTGCAGTTAAGTTGGACTAGGATGCGTTGGGCAGAGCTAAACAGAGATCTCCCACCCCCAGCCAGGGCCTTGGGTTGCGGCCCCCATCCATCAGCCTTGCCTTGCCCTCAGCGCACGCGTGGCATGGCAGCACATCACATCGCAATCGTCCAGCCGGTTCCCCAAGCTGCAGTGTTTCACCCCGGTTTCGAATTGTCCGAGGCGCTGGCTATTTTTGTACCCGTCGCCGACCTGCATCCATGAAGGGCAGCGCAGGGGGCACACCCGCAACGACGTCTGGGAGGGCGACAGCCGGCAGATGCTACTGTCCGGCACTTTATTGTTCCAGCCACGAACTACTGGTCTCTAGCTATCTATGCTATCGCCGATCAGGTGGGTGGTGATGGTGTGCTGGTGGTGGAGACGGCTTGGAGATTGGGGAGCGCAGGGCAGGGCAAGCGCCTGGCGAGATGAGCCGAGATTAGGATGGGATGCGGCTCGTTCACGCATTCGTCCGTCACGGCTCTTGGCTCTCGTCTCAATCGATCGCAGGCCAGGTTCTTCTCGCGCGCTCTCCACCTCATTCTATTGTGATGAGACCTTTGTGCAGACGGCCCATTCGCGTGCACGCCCATCGCCTCCGGCTTCTGCTAGCAAGGTGAGCATCTGTGGACGGTTTATTTATAGCGCCGTCCCCTGTCGGCTGGCGGTCTCGGGTAGAGGCAGCGCTGGGCTCAGTGGCCAACTGCCAGCCGGTGGACACCCCCGCGACCACGCCATTCATGCCGCCAACTCCATGCCATCCGCAAATGAATCTTGGATGCAGGCAGCTGGCCGCTCATTTGTCCGCGCTTGGATTCCATCTAGATCACAATCTCTTTTCGTCTCGTAACACGCCCAACCCGGCTAGCCAGCCTTCCCCATCTGGCTTGGCCCTCAACCAAAGATCCAAACTCGCTCGGCTCTTAGCCTCTACAGGCAGCAAAAGCGCGATGCTGTTCAAACGATGCCGCTTGGCACTGTTCCTGCAAACCCCAGATATTGACACTTCACCGCTCCGAACCCCCCGTTCACATTTAATTTACGTTGAGCTCGAGTCTTCACATGATAGATGCGATGCACTTGCTCCTCAAATCGAAGACATTGGTTTAAGCTCGCACAGACGACCGGTCGGACCAGTTCGCTGGGCTGAACCTGAACCCCGGCCCCAGCTTTTCCGCCACTCTAAACCTGGCCCATCGCAAGGCGAATCTTCAATCTATACTGCATATACAAATCGCGGAGGCGAATTCTATATTAATCAATGGGGGAATTTTTTTTAGACTTGTGGGTTATTTTAGACATGAGCCATATTCACTCACTAGCACAGAGGCAAATACTCGGAGCTGCAGCAACCAAAGACTTTGTTTACATCTCACGTTTGAAGTTGCACAGTGCAGCTTATTGCGAGTTGCGAGCGTCTAAGAGGCCAACTTAGAGAGCCACTCAGTTGGCGCCAAAGGTCCCTCCACCCCACTTCGCCTTCGCCCAACCCGACTTACACCTCACACCAGGTTAAAAAAAGATATACAACGATAACAAACAAAATTGAATATATTAAACGAACGGAATTCAGAGAACAAGGAAGTTGTCATTGCCAATCCCGTTCGTCGAGGAATGTCATGTCCATCAGTTGACACTTGTCTTCAGCCCTATACCTAAACAAGTTGACGCCGAGTGGCAGCCAACATGGAATCTCTATCCAATGTCCCCATCATCATCCCATCCCATGCAGGCCTTGTCTGTTCAAGGACGTGGGTTGCGGAGCTTTGGAAGTTGTGGGAAGGAGGTAAGGAGAATCAACGGCACACACCCCCTTCCCCTTTATGCCATGTGGAACTCCTATATCCAGTGAACGTTCTTGCGCCTCTTGACCTCGAGGTGAGAGGCGTATTCACGGGCATCCCGCACGGGAACATACTCGTCAAAGTTCTCTCGCGCCCCGTCCTTCCAGTGCACCACGACCTTGTTTCGTCTGCCGTCATGTGCCAGCCGATCCATGATTTCGGTGGCGCTCGCGTCCCTCGAAAGGGAAAGGGGGATCAGCCGTCCCCCGTATGCATCGTGATGCCTGCCTCGGGACCTGTCAGTTCTGTCGACGACGTTGATGGTCCAGCTCCCCTGCTCGGCCCTGCTCCTCCTTTTCGCACTGCTAGCCGCGGGACCACCACCACGCATGTCATTAATTAACCTGTGCCGTCCAGATGGAACCTCGTGCGTGTCGGTGGGCTCATGGCGGCCGCCTGAAAGACTTTGATAGGTTGAGATTGGGTAGCTAGATGACTCCGGCGGCCGATCATCCTTTGGATCCTCGCCGTAGCCAGGCCGCCCACACCTTCGTCGTCTGCTGCTCGCTATCGCCGACGCCGGCGGGCGTGACGAATGGGGGCAGCACTTGCATGGGCAGTTCTTTGAGCTGCTGGCCGCGTATCCCCTTTTGTCACTTGGGGAGATGATCGTTCCGAAGGTGGAACTGTGAGGAGCCCTCGGGGGGCAGTCCTCGTCTGCGGAAGAATAAGAATACCTCCGGTGGTTTGTATACCCCGTAGGCCTGTCGGTATATCTGGGAGCGTACCCATCCTTGCCGTGCTTCCCTTGGTGGCCAATCTCCCTGCTCCTTCGAAGGAAGTTCATCTTATCCTTGGGGTCTTTATGGGCTAGGGCTGGGGACTTTTTAGTCTATATTGCCAACTACCGAATATCGAAGCTAGTCTTGGCTTTAACTCAAGGGGCGTCTGACTCGAGTCAACCTCGAGTCCTGTATAGTTTCATTTATATGATATCTCGGCCACCCTGAAACGCTGCCACTAGCAATCTAGACAATGAACAGAGGAAGAAAGGATCATCTGTATGCATTGTGCGCCGCTAGCGTGCATCGGGCCGGCGATAAAAAGAGATTTGGCATTGTTTTTCAGCTTTGTGAGTCCGATCGGTTTCAATCCCTGGGAATTGGTCTTTGATTTCCATTTTTTTATTTCTGCTACTACAAAGGGTCATCTATGTCGTGGTTGAAGTCGGAGCTCAAAAGTGGACCCACCCAACGGTCAATGAAACCTTTAAGCGAACAACCCCAGAAAACAAACATGAAATGCAGACAGATTTATAGAGTCAACAAACGAAATTATGCCTGCTGTGATTAATACACACAATAACAGGCCATTGCGTTCCAAACATATCATCTGTAAGTCTAGGACGTTTCTTCCTTCAATCTTTCATCACAGACGGGATGCGACATGAACTATCTAGGGAACAGGGTAGGTCTATTTAGAGGTGCTGCCAATCGAAGGTCTCGCCATGGCTGAAAAATGGAATTTCGGGGTCCTTGACTGGCTGTGGGGGGCTTCTTTCGGGTTCTATTCTGCTTCCGCCTTCAGCGGGCCGGAAAAAGGTTACAACGAGGTGGCGCAATCTGCCGAATCGGAGACTCGGGGTTGTTGTGGGTAAAGTTTGCCCCAAATTTGGGGTTTGGAAAGGCCAGCGTAGCGACAACGAAATTTGGAAACTTCCAAATCTTCCCCCCAAAACTCCCCCACCAGTCGCCCTCGCTGTCGCGTGCTGCTCGTCTTTTATCCTTTCGCTTCACCTCCCTGGAATCATTTCGGTCATCTTTCTTTGTCAACCGGACTCTTCACAATGGCCTCCCTCAGCCCCCAGATGTATGTTTCCATTGTCCCTCTCGCGTGTGCGCGTAATTCCAGGGCGCAAAGTTGGCCACGGGGCACATGCTTGGACCAAGAATGAGACTGACCTTGACTCTTGCAGTACCAACCTGATCATCATGCTCGGCATGATGCAGGTGTCGAAGCGCATCCCCTTTGACGACCCCAACACCCTGAACATTGTCCGCGGCGTCTACCTCGCCAGCAATGTCATCATCGCCCTGCTGTATCTCTACGTCCAGGCCCAGATCAGCAAGAAGAATGGTACCCACCCTCGTTTCATTGTTTTAAGTTTCCCTTTGATTGCTGACCCCTGGCCCTTTTATAGACATGACGACCCTCAAGTACGTCGAGCCCGCCCCCGTCGGCTCCAGCGAGGAGGGCAAGCTCGTGACCACCACGATCAAGGCCTACGACTCCCAGCAGCTCAAGAGCCTGTTCCGCGGCCAGCTCATGGGCGTCGGCATGATGGCGTTCATGCACATCTACCTCAAGTACACCAACCCCCTCCTCATCCAGAGCATCATCCCCCTCAAGAGCGCCTTCGAGAGCAACCTGGTCAAGATCCACGTCTTCGGCACCCCCGCCGCCGGCGACCTCAAGCGGCCCTTCAAGCAGCCCGCCGGCTTCATGAGCGCCATGCAGGGTGGTGCCGCCCAGAGCGACAAGAAGGCCGTCGAGGCCGCCGAGCGCTCCGGCCGCGGTGGCGCCAAGGAGGAGTAGAGCAGACGCTTTGTGCGGGCACTGTATTTTTTCATGGGGTTCGCTTAGCTGTTGGGCTTAGATGTGCTGTAATGGATGGGTTCTGCATCTGATACTTTAATACATTACCGTTACTAGAGGATGTGTTTCCGGTGATGTCATGTACTTTGTATGGGAGCATGGAATATAGAGTTGAGACAGAAAGTCACATGTCATTTCTGGTTGACTGTTCTTGGCATGGAATGTATAATGTATTGTAAAAGTCTGCATATTGGAAGGATGTGATATCCACGACTCGGTACCATCGATGAATCGTGAGTAGCTATTTACAAGGGGACACCAATTGAGTATATTACGTTCGTATTGTGTTATTGGTTAATTAATTAACAAGTAACAACACGGAGCGGTCTGATGTAACTTGGTATTGTGCGTTAATTGCCAATTGATCCTTTGATAACTTCCATCCACTCCGACATCTACGACAACATGCCTGAAGCGGGCTGCAGGAACCGACTTCTCTCCACAGGCCCTGACCGTCTAAACCTCAGATATAGTTGATTAATAACATGTATGCCGAGCATCCACCGAGTCCGCACTCGTGCATGTATCATCAATCTATCCATCGATGCAGGTACCGAGTGACGACCGGAGAACGGGATTTCCGTTCGACAAATCCAGCGGACACACGATACACCCCGGGCGAATCAGGGAGGAGCGCGGATGAAGCTCTAAGTGGGATAGCGGAGGGAGTGAGCAACACCCTCGTACACTGTCATGGATCATGGATTGATATTGGGGGGTGGACGATTCACAGGCGCAACGACAGCCGGATGGAGCCTGAGCTCGTTCGGGTTTTCTGCTTAATTCTAAAATTCCAAGCTCGTGCCAAAACGGGCCTGGCAACGTCTGGACGTGCATCTAGCCTGGGATCCGCTGTCGTGCAGTCTGTCCATAGCTCGGCTCATATGCCCTCAAGAGGGAAATTCGGTAGTGCTGTTGTGACATCAGTGAAGCAGATGGGTGGGTTGATTGCTGTGGAGGGTTAAGAACTAGACAAGGGGGGCGTGTGAAGTGTTTAAAGCCAAGGCTGAAGCTCTAGAGAATAAAGATGGAATACTACCGTGTCGTGGGCAAGAATTATCCTCATCAGCATGTCACTTTAGGGGCATCAATTGGGAAGAGCAGCTGAGGTGTGGCTGGTGCCTGTAATTAGCAACTGACTGGAGGCACTAAGATATGCGCGCATACGGGTGGATAAGCGTGGGATTAGCGCTGCGTCGACGGTGATCCAATCCCTCAGCGCCCTCCGGAAACTGCCGCCACCAACGACCGTGAATATCGAGTGCCGTGATTGCAATTACGACCCTCCAGCCAAGCAACGGTCGGACAACTGAGCCGACAGCGAGACGACGACGACGGTGACGAGCGCCGGTCAGCGAGGGGACGGGGTTCGATCCGATCTGCCCTGTGTTTCGTCTATTCCTGTCTGACCTGGAGTCGCCCTGGCCATGACGGAAAAGCACTCCACGCCGCCACCGAGTGCTTCTAAATCGGCATCACAGGTCGCCTCGCCACCAACACCCGAGCTCGCCAGACGCATCGTGAGTCCACCCTGCCGCTACCGAGGCACCTATTTTTAATATTTCCAAGAGTCCCTTTGTCGCCTCACCGATCTTCGTGGTGCTGACCGTGCATGCAGGAGGAGAACAGGCTACGGGCCAAGGCGATTCGGGACCAGCGAGATGCAGAGAGGCGTGCAGCTGATGGCGGGACCCCTTCAATCCCCAAGACGGCCTCGGGCTTCGTAGCGACCGACAGCGTGCACATCGTCGGCGGCAAGCGTCCGATAGACGCCATCTCGAAGGACTCGGGGACCAACCGGGATGGGCGCAACAACGACGATGGGGCCCTGCGGCCAGCCCGCAAGTTCACCAAGTTCGTCGACTACAACATGAGCTCCATGACCGACACCAAGGGCGGCTTCCTGTCGATCGAGGACGACCCGCACAACTACGCGCTGGGCAGCGCGGCGGCCGCGAAGGCCGGGCAGGCCGAGGCGGACCAGCGGCCAAAGCACATGACGGCGCAGGAGTGGGAGCGCATGCAGCTCATCAACCGGCTCAAGAGGAACAAGGTCGGGCCCTTTGAGCCGGCGCTCAGCGCGCACGACGACGAGTCGAAGCGCAAGCGGTGCCGGGAGTGCCGCAGCATCGAGATCGACTTTGTCTGGGACGAGGTCTTCCACGTCGCCGTGTGCAACCAGTGCAAGGACAAGTACCCGGAGAAGTACTCGCTCCTGACCAAGACGGAGTGCAAGGAGGACTACCTCCTCACTGATCGTGAGTGCCCTTTGATTGTGATGGGCTGAGTATAAGCTAACTTGCGATAGCGGAACTGCGCGACCCGGAGCTGCTCCCGCATCTGAATAAACCGAACCCTCACAAGTCCCACTGGCACGACATGATGCTGTTCCTCCGCTTCCAGGTGGAGGAGTACGCCCTCAAGACCAAGTGGGGGTCCTCCGAGGCCCTGGACGCCGAGTACGAGCGTCGCGAGACCCAGAAGAAGGCGCGCAAGGAGTCCAAGTTCCGCGAGAAGCTCATGGACCTGAAGCGCAAGACGCGCACGGATGCGTTTCGTCGGCAGGCGGGCAACCTGTCGCGGACGGGGGCCAGCAAGTTTGGCGATGCCGTGGGGACCGGCGGGAAGCATGTCCATGACTGGGGCCGGGCCGTGCTCAACGAGGAGGGCATGACGGTCAAGACGTGCAACGAGTGTGGCATGGAGGTTGAGGAGTTGGAGTTTTAGTCTGTCATTTTGTTACTTTGGGAAGGTGTTTGGTTCAGGTACGGTTATACCCCTTTATTGATGTTTATGAGAGGTCTTTGCTATAAGGCTGGGACTTTACAGGTTACGGAACATGAAAATACGGATGGAAAATATCAAGTGTAGAATCTGATCAAACAAGAAGTGTATCATTCTATGATGTATGCCGCGTGGGCTATGCATATCCCTAGGTCCCTACCCGGGTACCTCCATGAAGTCGTGAAATCTGTTCCCTTTTTTATTTATATCTATTTTACTTGTTTCTGCCGTTATTAGGGGTTTACAACAGCTCGAATCTTCTGCGGTTGACCTCGTCCCGCCCCTTGTCGGTCACGGTGGCGCCCTCGCTGGTCACGGTCCTCTCGTCGCCGACGGGCAGTATGACGGTAAGGGTCTTCCAGGGGGCGACGAAGCCGGAGGACTCGTCACGCTCAAACTTGACCTTGACCTCCTCGTCGGCCGCGGCGTAGGAGATCTTGTACGTCGACACCTTTTGTGCCTCGGCGGTGCAGACGCCGTCGTCCTCGTACCAGGTGTTCTCGAACCACTTGCCGCTGCCCGAGCCGGCGGGGGCGGGGAAGATCTCGACGCCGCGGTAGTCGTCGAGGGGCAGCTCGGCTGGGTTCTCCGTCTCGCCGGCGGACAGGACCTGCACGTCGCGGCCGACCTGGATGGCTCCGCCGACCTTGGCGAGGAGGGGGATGCCCGAGCCGTGCCACTCGGCGTCGATGGTGGCCCACTGACCGGCGGGGAGGTGCTGGAAGGGGGCGTTGAGGTTGAGGAAGCCCTCGTCGGCGTCCGAGGCCCGGGGGAGGTAGACGTCGGCCTTGCTTACGCCGGGCTCGTACACGCCGCCGACGAGGAGGGAGTCGCCGAGCCAGTACTGCTCCTCGCCGTCGGTGACCCTCTTGGCCCAGACGTTGGGGTCCGACTCGTAGCCCCAGCCGGTCCAGCGCTGGGGAGGGAGGGCCGACTTGTGGCTCTGCAGGGCTGCCGAGTAGATGTAGGGCATGATGGCGTAGCGGCGCTTGATGGCCTTGCGGACGTGCGGGGTGATGGCCGGGTACATCCAGGGCTCGATGACGTCGCCGACCGAGTTGTCGTTGATGGTCTTGAAGCAGTTGATGGCGAAGCGCGGGGAGTTGCAGCCGAGCTGGACCCAGCGGAGGAGGAGCTCGGGGGTGGGCTGGGGGCCCTCGAAGCCGCCAATGTCGTGGCCGTAGCACTGCATGAGGGAGATGCCGGCCGTGAGGGACATGGCGTTGGCGCCCTTCATGTTCTCCCAGCTGGTGACGTTGTCGCCGCTCCACGTGCTGGCGGCGTAGCGGAAGGTTCCAGGGGTGCCGGCGCGGGTCAGGACGAAGGGGCGCTCGTTGGGCTTGGCGGCCAGCATGCCGTCGTGGGAGGCCTTGCCGTGGAGTTCGGTGTTGATGTGGCGGCCCCAGAAACCGACTTGAGGGCGGTCCTTGGCGGTCTCGGGGACCTTGATGAGGGGGTTGTCCAGGCGGCACTCCCAGTCATCGTCGACGATTGTGTATCTATCAAGTGTTAGCTAGGGAACGTGGACAAAGATGAAGAAGCGGATAAGACGTACTCGTTGTTATCGTTCCAGAGGCAGCACACGCCCTCCTTGACGAGCTGCGTGGTTCCCTCGCGCCACCACTTGAAGCCAGCTTCAGAGGTGAAGTCAATGTGGCCACCAACGTCGCTCTCACCACCGCCAGCACTCCAGAGACGAGTGGCACCGGCCTCGCCAGTGTGGGGGTCCTTGAAGAGCGCACCGGCCTCCTTGAGCCTCTGGTAGTCCGGGTGGCTGGACAGGATGTAGGGCTTGATGTTGGCGATGATGCGGATGCCCTGCTTGCGGTACTCCTTGAGGAAGGCCTCTGGGTCGGGGAAGCGGTAGCGGTTCCAGTTGAAGACGTGGCGCACCTTGGGCTCCTCGTGGGAGATGGAGTAGCCCGAAGACAGCTGGTGGGCGGAGCAGGGGATGTCGTTCTCCTTGAGGATGCGGGCCACCTCGAGGAGGGCCTCGGACGCCTTGGGCTCGTCGAGCTGGGCGTACTTGTAGCCGCCGGAGAGGTAGCCGAACGCCCAGCGGGGGACGAGGAGGGGGAAGCCGGCCAGCTCGGCGTACGAGGTGACGACGTCTTGCAGGGTCTTGCCCACGATGGTGTACTCCTCCAGACCGCCGTAGTCTTGTCTCAGGACCGAGTAGAATCCCCACATGCCGTCCATCTCGCAGCCGATGGAGTACATGCCACGGGAGTGAGAGGTAGAGAAGGTAGCCACGCACCCGTTGGGGGTGGCGTTGATGAGCAGGGGGATGTGCTTGTACAGAGGATCAGTGCGGTACGAGTCGTAGCCGAAGCTGTCTGTGGCGTTGAGCTCGAAACGGCGGCCGGCCAAGTTCATGGGCGCTGCCTTCTCACCCAGACCGACGTAGAGGGTGTTGCGGTTGTAGCGGGTGTAGTGAGCGACACCATCGCCATTGACCGTGTATGAACGGTGAGGCACATCCTGGCGGAGGGGAGCGCCGCTGGAGCCCTTGCGGGAGATGGTGACGAGAGGAGTGGACGACGTCTCCCAGTCGACCTTGGCCTCGAAGTCTCCAGCATCGATGGTCTTGATGGAACCGGTAGTGGTGCTGGTCAACTGGGCGCCAGACAGATCCTTGGTGGGAATGGGGATGTTGGGGTATGGGGCAGTGGGATATCTGCTGGAGGTGAAGCTTGTGCGGAAGATGTTGGGACGCACAGCCTCGAACTGGAATGTGAAGTCCAAACCCTGGTCGTCGCTGGTGAGCGTTACCGAGGGGGCGGCAGCCTCGCTCGCGGCGGTGGCAGACACCCACTTCTCAGGGATGCGTTCGCGCTGAGGAGCCATCTTTGTGAGATATAGGAAGATGAAAGGAAAGTGATGAATGACAAGAGAGAAACGCTCAAGCTGAGTGTACGGCCCTTATGAACGTCGATGAGACTCGAGTTGCTTCTTCTTGTGAATGAGATGCATACAATTCACGACGGCTTAAACGATGTATAGTCCGGCAGCGTCCCGAAGAGCGGACGGAAATCAGCCTGCCAACAGCGACACGAGCGAATTCTTCTGGCGTTCCATGTGACCTCGTTTCCCCGAGCAGCCCCTCACGCCTCCCCACAAAGCTCTGGGTTCTCCGCGCGAGCTGAGACTGACGTCTTGCGAGGCCATTCGTCTTCGTCCATCCGTGATGCGTGTATGGTTGCAGCAGTGGGCTGGGGTCGGCAAGAGAGCCAGAATCTGCGAAGAATTGGCCCACGACTCGATGACCAGGGGCGTGATTGGTTGCTTTGAGTTATGGCTCGGCTTGACGTTGGAAATCTCCGGCCCGGGCCCGGACGAAGCGGCTCCAGCACCGAATTCTCCGGCACTTGCCAGTAGCCCTGCCTCTAGACTCCCCTGGATGCGGCTCGAGCGAGTCATTGTTTCCACTGTAGTCCAGGGCCCCTTCTCTCCAGAGTTTGCTGAACCTTGACCGAGGTCCCCAGACGGAGACTCCAGCAATTTTAATGTGTCAATGCTACATTCTCCGCGTCCCCATGGGGCCGTTTTTTTTTCTTCTCCCTGTTTATTCCCTCTGACGAGCAATTATTCAGTCTATTAATCACCCACCCAGACTACTGGAACTAGGATCGGATCCAAGTCCGTTCCACGGAGAATCAGGAAACCCTGGAGAACGCGGTGGCGACGCTCGACTATATCTGCTCGACATCCCTCCCCGTTCTCATCTGATAAACACCCAAGATTATCAAGACGTTCCATCTGTCCCAATTTGGAACCTGAAGCGTCTTGATCTATTATCCTCCTCATTCAATATTGTTTCAGAGTATCGTCAACATGGTTGCCGAGAACAAAGAAACCGTGGACGACATCCAGGTCGAGAGCGCGCCCCAAGTCCAACATGACAAGGGTGCCGCTTCAGCGGATGTCAACGATGACCTCGCCAAGAAGTTTGCTGGACAGAAGGGTGCGGCCGCCGAGTTCCTCAAGCAAATTGAGCAGCCCATAGTCGTGACCCCGGAAGACAACAAGCGCGTTTTGCGAAAGATTGACTGGCGTATTCTGCCTATTATTCTCTTCGTTTACTGCCTCCAGTCCCTCGATAAGACAACTCTCTCGTACGCGTCCGTTTTCGGCCTTATCAAGGATACGAACCTCGTCGGTGATCAATTCTCATGGCTCGGCTCTGTTGTCTACGTGGCCCAGCTGGTCTTTCAGCCTCTGATTGCCTACTTCCTCGTCAAGTTTCCCATTGGAAAGTTTTCTGCTACCATGGTTTTCCTATGGGGCGCGGTTCTTTGTAAGAGAGACATATCTATCGACAACCTCTCAACGTGCTAACCAGTTTTCAGGCTGTATGGCCGCGAGCCATAACTTTACGGGTCTTATGGTAACTCGGTTACTTCTCGGCAGTTTCGAGGCTTCAGTTGGTAAGTTCCTGGGTTGTCTAGCCGCGGTTGTGGTTGATGCGAATATCAAACTGACAACTCTTAGCACCCACCTTCGTTGCCGTTGTTCAAATGTGGTATCGACGACGAGAACAAACTACAAGAAATGCTGCGTGGTACAGTACCTTAGGGTAGGCAAAAAATTGCGTTTCAGTTGTTTTTTTTTGAATCATATTCTGACTTTTGCAATAGAATAGTGAATAGTACGCTTCGCCCCGTGCCGAACCTCCACCACCTCCTTTTCTTATCTCTAACCTATAACAGTGCTCGGAAGTTTACTCGCGTACGGCCTCGGACACATTCAGTCCTCTCTCCGTCCTTATCAGATCATTTTCCGTAAGTCAATCCGTTAATCTATTGAAACCTGACTAGTGTTTCGCTGACAACCTGACAGTCTTTTGTGGCGCTGTCACCGTTGCCTTCAGTGCTGTTATGTTGTAAGTAACTCTTTGGACATAGCTCTGGGTTTGTAATTTCTAATGTCTCTTTAGTATCTTCATGCCAGACTCTCCAATCACAGCCAAATTTCTCAACCAAGAGGAGAAACATGTCGCGGTCGAGCGTCTACGAATGAATCAACAAGGAATGGGCTCTGGAGAATGGAAATGGGACCATGTTAAGGATGCTGCACTCGACCCAAAGACATACCTTTGGTTTACCCTCATTTTCCTCATCTCGTATGTTCTCGAAATTACAACTTTAAGGTACTTGTATCTGGTTGCTAACTCCTTTCTAGCATTCCCAGCGGTGGAATCTCGACTTTCGGGCCTCTTATCATCGAAAGTTTCGGCTTCGACAGCTTCACAACGATCCTGTTCAATATCCCCTTCGGCGCGGTTCAGATGATTGCAACCCTTGGAGGAGCTTTCCTGGCCGACAAGATCCGCATGAAGTCTCCAGTCCTCCTCCTTCTCTGCCTACCCCCTATTGCCGGATGCTCTATCCTCATGGCTGTTGGCCGCTCTCCCTCCGATCGCGCTGTTCTTCTTACCGGATACTATATCGTTTCGTTCTACCCCGGCATCTCCCCCCTGATCTACTCTTGGTCTGGCCAGAACACTGGAGGAGACACCAAGCGTAAGGTCACCACCGCTATTATCTTTATTGGACAGTCAGCGGGCAATATTGTTGGTCCTCTTCTGTTCCGCCCTACCGAGAAGCCATACTATTCCCGTGGTCTCCGGGCTAACTTGGCCATCTTTGTTGCTCTGGCTGTGGTGGTTGCCCTCGGAATGCTGCTCATTAAGATCCTAAACAAGAGACAAGCCGCTAAGCGTGTCGCTATGGGCAAGTCTGAGCATATTGTCGATGTCAGTATGGCTGCAGGCAACGCAATTGATAACGATGAGAACAAGGCGCAGCAGCTTGTTGACGAGGCTCAGGGCGAGAGCGCTTTTGAGGACATCACGGATAACAAGAATGAGGATTTCATCTATGTATACTAGTTTAATCAGGATTTGGGGCTCCGGAGGTTTCTTTCATCTTGTATGAGAGAGTTGTGAGTTGTGTTAGCCCATGTCTCATCGAGTGAGCAGGACTCTTAGTTGTAAATACTTCACAGAATAATGCAACGAGCCCTTATCTACCCCTGCGAGTTGCCAAGAAGTCTTCTAGAGTTTAAATTTCTGAGTGCTGTTTCAGTGATTGAGCGACGAAGTCTTTGCGTTGTGAGACGACGACTTCAACCTCTCATGTGTTTCACTCAGTTGCTCTCAGCGTTGGTTTACAATAACAACCACAATAGTAACAATAAATGGCAAATAATGAAGACAAACTGCTTATTTCTTTGAGGTTTGTTATTTATCGTCTTAATTTAGTTAATATTATGTCGGAAGTCAAAGCCGTTGGTCTGTCGGCTTGAAGTCTACTGCCTCAATATGTACTGCTAGAGCTTCTCTTGTATTCAATTTATGTTCCTTATGTTTCTGACATTGCTTTACTCTCTTCCCCAATGGATAAAAAAATTCAGCCGAAACTACACCCTTTCAACGCTTCATAGCCCGAGCATAACTTGAGTGCAAGGCCCCCCTGCCATTTGTCGCCCATAACGACCACAACCACAAGCATACAGTTGATCCTGGGTCTTGGGTCTGAGTTCTTATATCATCTGGCTTGCCACTGTCTACACACAGGATGACTTTATTCAGAGAATGAATTGCATTGGGCAACACATTGATTGAGAAAGTGGTTTGCGCTTGGCAGACTTGGAAGGTGGTTGCCTGGCGGAACGGAAGGAGCAACTGGACGCTTGACCTCGATGGCTCCTGCCTTGGTTTGGTTCCTGCCTCAATGGTTCCTGCCTTGATTTGACTCCTCCCTCGGCCTAGCTCCTTCCTCGAATTGATTTCAGGCTACAACAAACGCGTAAGCAGCCGCGTCTGGATCCAAAAACATTCCTTGACTTGTTTTGTCTTCTTGCTCCTCTCTCTGTCAACTGCATTGACAATCAACAAGTGTTCACATCATTCTACAACAGAACCATCAACTTTGTTTTCACCAACCTATCCACAATGGACTTTTCATACAACAACCTGCTGGCCCTCGCAGCCAAGATCAACAATTGTCGCAAGACAATTGAGCAACACGTCGCCGATATTGGCGTTTCCAAGCACGTCACGGCGCGGGGGCCAGCAGCCTTCAATAATACGGTTAGAGAAGGCGTCGAGTACAAGGCTCAGCTGAATCAAGCTTTCGGCTTTCGGTAAGTGACTAGGTAGTCTTCGAAAAACACACATATACCAACCAATTGACCTGATAGGAGCGTTGCCAGCCTCCCACAGCCATTATCACAGGATGTTGCGGGCGCCCTCGGCTACAACTTCCCGCGCCATATCCCGTCGATTGGTGCCATAACATCAGCAAAGAGATCAGGTCCTAGAAGGGCGTCGACTATTGCCCCCGTTGACGGGACCAAGAAGAAACCCGCTGCCAGGCTGTCGCAAAGTTTCTTCAGTCAGCATATCAAGGAGCTTTGCCCAGCCAAAGGTCAATCATACGAGCCATACGAGAAAGACTAACAGACCGGCAAGTTCATAGCTGGGCCGAGAAAGGACCATCCTAAAATCACCGCCAGTGGCGACACTGTGTTTAATAAAGAAGCCAGTCCATTTGAAAGGTTTGAGGCTAACACCTGGAGCCCTGAGAAGTAGAGGCAGTTCCTTGAAGTGTCGCGGACTGGGGAACATCTCCCGGTCCAAGAACAGGTCATGACCAAGACGCCAGAGGAACTGTTCGCCTACCAGGCATCTTCATGGACCAAAGAAAAAGATGTCAACTGGACCAGGGTCTACAGAAAGCTGCAACGAACCACAGCGAAACATGGAGGACTCACGGAGGATGAATTCAGATACTACCTCACCATCGTTTACAAAGGCAAGCGGGTATTCTTCCCATACCATGTACTTTGTCGGTCACAAGTCCTGGAGGTAGGCTGGAGCTGGGACATCGTTTACTCCATTTGTTGTCACATGGCAGAAACAACGACGAAATTCTGCAACGAGCATGCCGTCAAGGCCGGGCTCGGCGAGGGCCTCGATGGCTTCAAGGTCATTTACGGACTCGCGGCCATAATGAGCCAACGCATCAAAGAGGCCAGGCTCTAGTGGCCAAATTTCAGCCGGGAAGAAATCGCCTTCCGGACTACAGATCGGGTTTCCGTTGGTCCCATTCCTCACCTATTGGCAACATCTGCCACGCAGTGCGCACAACAGCGACGCACTATGAATTCACGAACGGAGATGAGGAGTTTGAACCTGAGAGGTAGAAACCATCGGCTCGCATTTATTGGGACCAAGAAGAAATCCGCTGCCGGGCTATCGTAGAGTTCCTTCAATCGAAGTATCAAGGAGCTCTACCCTGCCAATGGTCAATCCCACGAGAAAGATCAAGAGACCGGTAAGTTCATACCTGGCGCTTTCTCGCCAAAAGCTGTCGGTGAATTCTAACCATAATCAAACCGACAAACACTTCAGTCATATGAACGAATCACTAGATACTGTATACAAAGCAGATTTATATGAATATCTGGCAAAACCTCTCTCTACTTATGAAGGAGATGAAAACAAAAAGAAGCAGTACTGTGATTACAGTGGAGTTGAGATGGCATGGGCCAAAGGGTCCCGACAATATTCATTGGAAGCCATACACCCATTTGCTTTAGCAAATGGGTCAGCAATATACCATATCCCGCCCAACGTCCTTACTTGTACATACGCCCTTAACATGGGTAAGGGCTAATGGCCGGTCATCGTGCTCCCATTGATGGCGGAGGCAGCCCGCATACACAAGGACAGGGCCATCCTCGATTTTGAGACGTTCAAGGGGAGGTGGAGATGGGTGTACGACAGGCTGACCAATGCGATGGTCCTGACAGAGGACTTCAAGCTGAAAAATTCACATGATGGCATATCCAAGGAGGTCAATACCTGGAGCCCTGAGAAGCAGTGGCAATTCCTTGAAGCGTGGCGGCAACATCAATTGCCCATCAAGTACACGGAACAGCAATGTACTATGGCTTCACCAACGGCAATGAGGAGTTTGACCTTGAGCAATACATTGACCTGTCGCTATGTGCGATTTCTGTGGAGAGCCTGTTCACGAACAAGATGAAGTGGGATTTCCGCAATGATTATGTTCCGGACATGCAGGAGGATCTAGTCAAGATCCCGCTTTCGCATACGCATTACAAGATTGACCCTGCCGTGGGCGACACCATATGAAAACTCGGCATTACTAATGTCGGCGAAGCGATCCCGCCTGTCCCAGAATTCAATATCGACATGGTGCCTATTGATCGATGGGTATCAAACGATGGGTAGCAGTTAGTCATATAACGATACTTCCTATTGTATAACAATAAGCAGATAATACTGCCTAATAATTACTCAATAATTTAGTATTATACTTATTAATTTTATCAGGGTTAAGTATTGTCTATCAATCTCGTGGAAGTTGGGATAAAACACCTTTGTAGTCCCTGTTTATGTGACGCCCACCTGGGAAGTATAAGAATTCTCGCTCCATTTTACTGTCCGCCCCGAGTACGTGCCCAAAGATTTGAGATCTTCCCAGCCGCCCACTGTGTCGCCCAATACCTGGGCAAGGACACGTATTCCGGTGAATCAGACAGCAAGTCACCAAGCCGACAAGTCACAAGCGGGACTGATATGAAGATGGGCCAACGCGGCATTAATTTTTTTCCCTGGGGGAAAACATAAGTCAAGACCAGATGAACCTTTTCTGGACAGGGTTCTAGGAGAAGCTGGCGGAACAAGCATTGGAGAACGAATGGTCTATTCATGCGTTAATTACGCCAAAGGGATTGGACCCTACGCTTTATGATTGCGCGCATGTCAAGAACGTGACAGATCCCTCCATTGTTATTGCGCAAATCAGGAAGAAGACTACAACTCTAGCAAAATCGCAAGGCTCATGGGGTCCTACCGGGTGATGATGGCCATCGCAGAAAGTCGTCTCGATATGTGGAATATCATGTGAGACTAGCTCAGTTCGTGCAATATCCAGTTATACAGCCAGTAGAAGCGAGTCTCTAAGCAGCTTCCATTTGAATCAAGGACGCAGCAGTTTTCAGTCACACCAGCTGCCAAGATACGTTTTCTAAAAAGCGTCTTTCCGCAAGTTTGACGTCAAACTAGCCCAGTTCGCCGCGTCAATCTCGGCCTGTTTGTAACATTGGCTGAATCCTTTCGGGCTGAAGAGCCGTCTCACAGTAATGATGGATCAGTGCTCCGGGTTCAACGTCCTGTTCTGTCACCCGCCTGTTACCTGAAAGAGGAGAGAGAGGAACAGAGACATGTTTTGTTCTTGCCGCTGGAGGTAGATGCTAAATGGACGCAGCAGCCTAGATGTAAAGCGTCGAAAGAAGTGCAGTAATTGTTTGAGTATTTTGTTGCTCGGCTAGTTGATGGTTCTGATATTGTGTTGGGGGTCAATGTCGGTGCTTTTATTGTGCACAATAACCGGCTATTGGTTGCTGTCCATGTTGAGGACAAGTAAAGATACTTGACGGGATGCATCCTCATATCGTACTATATGATGAAGAAGGAAAAAGAAAAAAATATGACACAGGTTATTCAGTCACTTTGAGACTTTGAGAATAATTATCGCAATCGGTGGGGTAGTGTACAGAAGGCGATGCAACTTGGGCCAGACTTCATGAATTGATAGTCAGGTATGGGAGATCGTGCCCCATTGCTTCTAGTTACCAAAAAAATACACATTCTCAATCCCTCTGGGTAAAATCAGGCTCACTATACTGGATCTGAGAGTCGCTGGGTTTCCCCAGGATCTAGTCCGCGAATAGTCGCCAGGTTTCCCCGGGATTCTCTCCTCCCGTTCAAAGTGTCGCTGGGTTTCCCCAGAAGCATCCTCCCCCCCCTCTAAGCGTCGTTGAGTGTGATTACGTCCTCTGAAATTTGTCGCCGGGTTTCCCCGGGATCACCTCCTCCCTGCTCCTCCCTGCTCCTCCCCATCTTTAATTCTCAATGGCTGCTCTGATTCTATCCAATTCTTCCTTAACCCGCCGTTGTACGAAATTACCGTGGTAATTCTTCTTCATTCGGTCATCTTGGAAGAAAGGAAGATCCTATCAAGGTATTAGTTCTATGTTTCCTATCATGCAATACTGGAATCAGAATTTTGGGGGAAACGTACTGCGATCCACTCGGGCTCGATGAGCGTCACTTTCTCCATGAGGAGGTTGTTCCTCCCCATCCGGAGGGTCCCGTACATGACCCAAGGGTGGTCCCTAGTGCTGAGCACACTTTCCTGGGCTATCAAGGCCGCGAAGTTTCCATGAATCGTGCGATATCGCTCATCCTCGTCAGAGGAAGAGATCTTGAGTGCAATGTTCCGGAAGAAGGTTCGTGCCAGGATCCTCCGGATGTTCTCTCCCTCTTGGCCATTGATAGCCTCTGGAGCGTCGTTGAACCGGATTCCCATTGTTTCGATAGCCGAGTCACGCTGTAGGAGGATCTGCTCCATCAACGGGCGATTGAGGGATCGACCGGTACACCATTGATCGAGTTCACGGACACCTCGTAGCTTGGGCTCCTCGGCCTCGAATGCGTACAGAGCATTTAGCTCGGTAATGAGATCGGACATTGAGTCCGCCGTAGACGCAAGGAACGATGGCGCAAGGCTCATTGATGCCGCTAGGAAGATGGATTGCATTGAACTGCAAATTGCAGCAATAGCTACAATGTGCTGGGCGAGGTGAGGATGCCTCGCCTTGGCAAACTCGATGGCGTAGGTCCAGTTGGGCTCAAATGGGCTCTGAGCAGCACGCTTGCCAGCATTGGTAACCTGAAACCGGTCATTGATGTAGCCACTATCACTTGTTAGTCTTGTGTACATAGAGATCAAGGGTATCTAGGTATCTGATAGCTAGATATCTAGTGAATATCTTACAGATCAAGGAGCAGTTCGTTGGCGTATAGGAGGTTCTCGAAGGGAGGAAGGTCGATAAATGGTAGAGTCGCGGCTGTAAAGCCGAAGGCCAATGCCTTTAGATAGATTGCGCTAACATCGTCTCGGGAAATCTCAGCATCTGGCTGATCACGAAGATTCTTCTCGAAATCTTGCTCCGTATACATCCGAAAGCAGACTCCTGGCTGGGTTCGGCCGCAGCGCCCTGCACGTTGAATGGCAACTGCCTTGGAGATGGGACGTCGGAAAACCTCAGAAGCGCCGGTCCGGGCCATCAAGCGCTTCACCTTTTCTAACCCGGTATCAATGACATAAGCGATGTCGGGGAGGGTGATGCTCGTCTCTGCGATGTTCGTTGAAACTATGCATTGGCGGCGCTTGTTGGTGGACGCGCTGCTCAAGATTGCGTTTTGAGCAACTTCTGGCTGTGCCGAGTGAAGAGAAATGACGTCCAATTCTCTGATTTCCTTTCGGATGAGTTGGCATGTCATCCCAACTTCAAAGACGTCAGGCATGAAGACCAGAACATTGCCTGGTGGATATCTGTTTCGGACGATGTTGGCCACGAGTCGGCAGGCCTCCTCCACAATGTTGCTTCTATCAGGATGCCCAGATGATGTAAGTCGCGGGGTTTCCCCCAGGTAGCGAATGTCCACTTTATGCGTTGCGCCTGGCATGTGAACTTGTGCCACAGTTGCGTGGTCTTTGAAGTAGTTGACATATTTGTCAACATTTATTGTCGCCGACATGACAATAATTTTGATATTGTGCTTTTTGACGGCTCGCCGGGCCAGTGCCATCAAAAGGTAGATATTGTTGCTGCATTCATGGACCTCGTCGATGAAGATAGTATGGCATTTGCTGAAATTTTCATCGTTGAAGGCTTGGGCAACCATCAGTCGATCGGTCACGTAGCTAGGAAATTGTTGTTAGCTAAGATCGGTAGAACTCGAAACTGATCGTCATCGCCTTACATGAGCCGGGTCTCCTCGGATGTCTTGTCGTCGCCATGGATTTGATACCCAACTTGGGTACCGAGTTCACATCCTGCCTCTTGGGCAACTCGTTCGGCTACCTTGACCGTAGCCAAATCTCGAGGCTGCGTACAGACAATGCGGCCACGGAGATTCATTTGTTGGGCCTTGTAGGCCACAAACTGCGGGATCTGGGTTGTCTTTCCAGATCCAGTTCCACCGCTCACGATGAGAACCTCGTGCTTTGTAAATGCATCCCAGAACTCGTTGAGATGGGGAGATGTGATGGAGGCCATTGTGAAAGTTGTTGAAATTTGCGTTGTTGTCTTGAAATGGGTTGGTTCTTGGTGGTTTTTAGAATGATAGAAATTGTGGTTGTTGTTTTGGTGTTGTTGTTGTTGTTGTTGTTGTGATTTGTGAACGGGTGGGCGCGGGGAGGAGGGGCGAGGGCTGAAGGAAAGGTGAGGGAAAGGTGAGAACTGGCACCGATTTCTGCCAACAATGATAACAGGCCTTATCAAAGGTACGTACTCAGTTTTTACGGCATTTGGCACGTAAATAGACAAGCGACTGACCTAAAACATGGCACAAATTATAGAATATCAGAACAAATAGCCCAGTAATAAGCACAATATCAAGCTGAATGTGAGAGAATAATTTATTATTCTCTTCTTATTGTAATTAGTACAACTCGTAGTAGAATTAGGTCCCTGAATTACCTGAAAAGGATATTAGTGTGCCATTTTTCAGCCACCTGTTGGGTAGCTACTTGGCTAAACATAAACACGCGTCTTCCACATTCAAGAAACCTGCAAACTACATCACCATCTCTTCAGCGAACCAAAATCGTCACATTTTCAACAAAAACAATCTTTCACGTATCTTTCTTAGCCAAATTAAATCGCCAGTAAGTAATACTTATCCTTTGGATTATTCAAAATCCTTTCTTGTCGCGTTTCTCCTGGTCCTGGCTTGCTCTTTTGTGCTAACCTTGAATTTGCAGAGATGACCATCTTCCACGTCGACGCCTCGGACGCGGCCAAATTCCAAAACGACCTGAACCAAGCTATCCAACGAGGTAGCATGATCACTCTCACAGGTGTTAACTGGGCCGGCGGAGAATTTTGGGTCGAGTCCGCATTGGAAAATGCAGGCTTCCTATCCGCCACCGTGTTTTGGCCGACATCTGGTGCTCCGATCCTGCGAGTAGACTTCTGGGAACATGGCAAGGCCGTAAAGGCTATCGCTTGGTTCAATGAACGTACTATTGATGGGAATAAGCTCACTGCCGAGTTCCATGAGGATGTGCGTACCTGCTTTCAATCGAGACTACCTCCTGCTCCTACTGACCATATGAGTTGCAGACACCACCCGAGCATACCCGAAACACACCGGCGAAAGCCAGCGACTCTCTCCCAGCTCCGGTTAGTTCCAGTCGTCAAACCCTATATTTTGGCTAAGATTACCTCTAACGGATGTTATAGCAGTCTGAACCCCAAACCGGCATCCGGCGTCGGGCTCTCCGGTTTGGCAGGGCGAGGCAGATCGAGCCGAGCCTCAATTGGCATGAGCCACGGGACTTGCGGAGATGCGAAAGACCCATGGACATCCTCACCGCCGAAGGTCCACTTGAAGACATCGGGAGGTTCTTCCCGCGAACTTTCGAGATGTATTCCCGACTGTTTGGCGGCATCCCTAGCTCACACGGGCTTGTCAAAATCGAAGGCGGGAAACTGGTACCAACCCCAGAACAGGCGAAAGCCTGCGTCTCGTTCTATAAACCAGAGAAGGAGGGGGATCCTAAATATCTGAACAATGTCGAGGCCGCCAAACGCGAGCTGGTTGTCACATCTCCAGGCTTCGTGATCCCGTACCCACGCGGCCCCTTGAACGGGGTGGGCTGGGGCGAATTCGACAAGTTCACCGAGTGGCAGCTCCAAGGTCGCAAGGTTGAGCCCGACATGCTGGACAAGGATCTGGCTTTCGACAAGGGCAGCACTCGCCCTCTTGTCTTTGTCTCCCCGGCCGGTGAACCGCAAGAGGAGCCTATTGTGGTTACCGAGACCCTCGGTAATGCTGAACAGGAAAGTGAACGAATGAAGACTCTGTCAGAGTTACTCACGAACAAGAGGAAGAGAACTGAGACTAGAGGGGAAATCTATGGACGTCCCCGTCCCCGTGGTGGTCGCGGTGGCCGTGGCGGACAAGGAATTGGATGGCCTTAAGTTAGGGACCGGGCGGAAGCCGGCGACAATTTTGAGAATGGAATAGTTTGACTGATGGATTGAGGTGCTCCGGGCGAAAGCTCGCGACCCTTTTGGGAGATGAACAGGTTGACTGGTGGATTGGGGTGGTCCGGGCGAAAGCTCGCGACACATTTAGAAGGGGAGGAGGATTCTCCTGGGGAAACCCAGCGACAATTGGGAGGGGCGATGGACGGATTTGACAGTTTTCTCAGATTGGCTTTCGATGTTTTATTGATATGCGAAATTGTTTGTTTTGGAGGATTATTCTAGAAATGCAAACCATCATATCAGTTGTCGAATCGTCATACACTCTCTCCTCATGCGTTGAAACGATTTTGGGTACCGATTGCGGCATTGTACAAGCAGGATACGGTGATCGGTAGGACTTCCTGAGTGTTCCAAGGTAGGTCTCGTATGGACGCCTGGTATCGGGGACTATATAGGGGAAGATGTAATCAATTGGCCATAACTCCTCTCCCTTGGCTCGTCGCATCACTCTATTCTACGTCGGTAGAGATTGACTTCCGACACAGTATCAAAACAATAAACTAGCCGAACAACCAAATACTCAAACGATTAGTTAACAATATTGTATTATTTAAATATCATTGTGCCCATCATTGTCACCCAGGAATACTGGGGGTGGGGTGGGTTAAAGGAAAGGTGAGGAAAAGGTGAGAACCGTCGTCAATTTCTACCAACAATGGCACTTGGTATTTACAGCACGTGTCACATACGTAACTAGGTAGACAGGTTCTTACTTAGGCAATAATAAACACACATCTCCTGCATTTATGAAATTTGCAAACCACATTATACTCACCATCTTTTCTTCACTCGCCAAAATCACCACAACCCAAGTTAAAAAAAGCCTACCATACCTTCCCATCAGCCAATCTTGATCAACAGTAAGTAAATTTTAGACTGCTGATGATTTTGATGATTCAAAATTGTTTCTTCTTGTGCTACATTGGGCACTCTTAATCTATCTTTCCGGTCCTGACCGTTTGCAGATATGCCTATCTTCCACGTCTCCGCCTCCAACCCGGGCCTGTACGCAGACTTGGATCAAATGCAATTTGACCATGCCATTCGAAATGGCAAGATGGTGATGGTCGGAGGGATTGACTGGGAGGGCGGACAACCCTGGGTCGAGTCAACATTGAAAAATGCAGGCTTCCAGTACGCCACCGTGTACTGGCCAGTATCCGGAGATCCCATGATAGCAGTGGCTTTCAACCGACATGGAGCAGCTGTGACAGCCATCGCCGCTTTTCATGAAAGCATCCACGAAAGCGACGGAGATAAATTTCTACTCACTGCTCGGTTCCATCCGAATGTCTGTACCTTCTTTCCCAACCACCACTACCACTTGCTCACGCTGACCTTTTGCAGACACCACCCAAGTATACCAAGAAACTGGCGAAAGCCAGCGAGTCTCTGGCACTTTCGGTAAGCTATCTTCTACTTATTCCTGCCATATTAGTGACTCTTGATCTAATCATAATATTCCAGGCCCCTCCCACGCCAAAGAGCGTTTGCGAAGCACCAAGAGCTAAGCAGAAAACGCAATCAATTTTGACAACCTCCGGCGTCCTAGATACAGATCTAGGGGAGACCTATAATTCTCTCCCAGCTCCGGTTAGCGCTATCCATCAAATTTCAGCTAAGATTGCAACTAACGAAAATGGTAGGAGCCCACGTCGTGGGACTGCTTGGCACAATGCGATGCAGCTACAACGGAGGCCCAGGCGGGAGGTCAAGATGGCTATTCTGATTGGTCCCATCCGCGAGCATCGAGAAAGCACTCTTCATCGCGTCGATGTATTCTCAACTAATACTAGGATAATGAGGAGGTAAACAGGCCCCGGAGGTCGGCTCGGCTCCGTCTGCCAGGCAATGATAACTGTTATCTACATCGCAATTTGTTTGTGGAAGAAGGGTTCGGTTCGGCACGCTCGGTTCGGCGAGTTGATTTTTTGCGTCTGCCAACGAGACACCGTTGTAGACATGCCGTCTCTGAGCAACATGTCTCTCCTAGAAGGGGGAAAACAGAAATAAAACCACATTTGAGAACGGGGAATTTCTTAGAAGACCCATGATGTATTGCTTATTGTTGCTAGGTACTATTTACTGCTAAATACAGTATCGTGATTCCTCGCCCATTAGTCCAGATGGTTGATGCCCTGCCTGGCCTCCTTTTCTGCGATATACGCTCTCCACCTGGGATTGATCCAGTACACAGGGATGCCCAAGAGGAAAATAGCTCCAAAAATTCCAGCAAGTACACCAAAAGCCCACTCATAGCCGTGCTTCTCAACCATCGGGGTCAGCCCGTACGTGACGCCAAACGAGATGACATTCTTCGTGCCTACAACGACCACCAGCGCGGGGCCAGGGTGCTTCGGTGCGGCCTCGGAACCAAAGGTTGTCGAGATGATGAGCACCGCGGTGAAGGAGTACTGGAAGAAGGTCCAACCCAGATACGGCGCCCACCAGGTTGAGCCACCACCCGCCGTGAAGCCGTAGAGAAGGAGCATGGCGATTCCGATGACGGCGGGAGGGATCAGCGTGATGAGGTGGTCCTCGGGCTTGTGGACGCCTTTGTTGCGCTGCGCAAACCAAAGCACGAATCGGTTCCCGAGAAGGCTGCAGTAGAGCATGCCTAGAAACGCGCCGATGATGCCTCCGATGTTGATGAGCCCGATATCCTTGGCCTGCCAATGGTAGTTTTGCATGAGGACGGCATTGTACGTCAACGACATGCCGACGCCACATCCAAGCGTGATTGAAGAAGTGAGAACTGCGTACAAGATACCTGGAGAGGTCAGGCTCTGAGCCATGTGAAGCCAGCTCAGAAGAATGACTTGCAGGGGTCTCGGCTGTAATGGAGAAAGCAGGCTGAGCTTCTGAATATAAGACTTGCGAGCGATGGTCGTTGATGAGTTGTCTTCATTGACACTCATCTTTGGAAGGTCTCTCCCTTCGTTCTGGACTCGCTCCAGGTAGTCCTGGGCCTCAGAGTCCGGGATGATGCGCGTGACGCCAAACTCGTCGGTGAAGACAAGCTGGCCATCGAGGCTGGCCGCTGGACGCGAAAATTGCGTCTCAAAGGCGAAGAAATAGGCAATCAAGAGGCCGACGGCTACAGTGATGACGAAAACCCAGTAGTACCAGCGCCAACCGAGACTGGCGTTGATGTACGATGAGGCAAGGTTTATCGTGGAGCTCAGAACGTTCTGGGTCATCCAGTAAAGACCAAAGATCATAGGACGCTCGTGGAGGAATGTAATCTCCGTTAGCATAAGCGGAAGAAGCGATTCCGACGCATCGGTTGAAATGCCTTGGATGACACGGGCGGCGAGGTGGCCCTCGTAACTGTTCTGGACAGCAGCGGCTATGATCGAGGCGAGAAGTATGACCATGGAAGCTATGAATACGGGTCGACGGCCGAAGGTGAGGGACAATGGGAGGATAATGTAGTTTCCTGCAAACAAGTTAGCTTTGAAGACTCGCAACTCTGATTCGGTACGCACCTAAACCAATGCATAGCGTTGGCAAGCTGATCAACAGAACAACCTGATCAGAACTGTACCCCTGGGGTAGATACATCTCGAACATGACATTGAGGATTGCGCCAAGTCCGCTCGCGAGTGACAGTCCCATGATCGAAAACCAGACACAACAAACGACGACGCCATATTTCTCCCAAGGTCGGAAATTGAGAGGGTCGTTCGGGTCGGACGAAGGTACGGGGATCTTGCGGACAGCTCCGCCCTTATCTACCAAGAGGGCATTGCCTTCTACATGGTCGTGTTTGCCTGATCTGTGTTGTTGCTGCTGCTGGGCCTCGAGATGTTCGACGCGGGTGATATGTTCGCCACTATCCTTTTGTCTGGAAAGAGATGTCGCTACGTGCTGATCCATCTTGGCCTAATATGCGTTACCAATCAGACTAGAGGACTTCTTGTGTGGTGGCCGATCATAGTGTTGGACTTCGCTAACCCAGGGTTGAGTGAGACTATATAGAGATGCAGTCCCTCACCATCGGTATCTGCATGAGATAGAGTTTCCCCCTCGGGATCCATACTGCTATCGTGGATTAGAACTGTATCTGGGGTTGGGTGGCTGCTCGGCGATGCTGATCTTCGGTTCGGGTCGGGATGTCACTCCACTTCCCCGCAAACTGTTGACCATGATTGAGCACAAAGCATCCATACCTATAAAGTCACGGGGAAAAATGAAGAGACCTCTTATTGAACGTAACATCACGAACGCAACCTCAAAAAGTTTGTAGTCATTGCTGGTGAAATACTCGTTGTAGCACCAAGTGATCACTGACGATGTGTCGTTTGACATGAAAAAGGATGGATTTCCTCGTCAATATATTCGTCAATATATTCGTCCACACGGGCATGGCGATGAATATCGATGAGAGTTCCCTTTATTTATTATTTAAACTCTGTAATACTTGGCTTCTATGCTATTATTCTGGTAATCCCTATTCATCTCTTATGTGAACTCAGAATAGATAAAGATTTATCAGTTATATAAAGGAATACGTACCAGCTGAGCCAGAATATCAAGTTTCTTGATGAGGATTGTCGGGACAGCACGTATATTGAAGACTCTTGCGATAACTTTATGTGTGAACTCGTGCGTGGGCACTGTCGCACTGGCAAATAAGTCACTACTTTTCCTCGCGACCAACGATGTTATCGATAGATAGAATTGTATAATGACATACTGGTAAACACCATCTAGAGTCATGATGTAAGACCAATATGAAAGATGCTGGGTCACCAAACTAGACAACGGACTGCCTCTCTGCGGCTATGGAGGATTGCCCTACACATTGCGTCCTCCTACAAGTTGGCTATCTCGGAATATAGGTCTATGGAGCATGCTATAACATTAGAAGAGGGTGCCCCTGCTTTCATAGTGTAAAAAAGTTGCTTTCTTGCGACATCATCACGATTAATTCCTTACCTAGTTTGGGGAATGAAGGCAAAAAAAACGCTTTCGATGTACCTGGGACTCGAACCCAGAACCTTAAGCTCACTTAATAGGAGGCTTACGCGCTACCTTTTCATCGTGTTAGTGCCACGACTAGTTGGGTTTCATTCTCTGAGGAACAAGCTTACCATTGCGCCAGCACACCATATTGGTGTTATCCGGGGAATTTTTAATTTTGCTATATAAGCCTTCCCCAATCACGAATCTGACAGGAGCCATCCGAGGCCGAATCACCCCAACCCCAGAACATTGACAATAAAGTTGTTGCCATTTGCATTGATTCACTCTGAGCTTGACACAAACTAATTGGCATTTTCCCTTGGGCAATATTATCAGAGATGTTTGTTAGCACGGACATCGACATTACCAGCGTAGATCCTGGCAGAGTGTTTAAAAACAAGAAGTATTTTTTTAATCTAGATGACTAACTAATGTAATCGCCTTACTTCAAGGCCAACTCTGTATGGAATTCATCGACCTGGCTGTATCACCGCGACTATAGGCGCGTCCAGCATAGTGATGGACTCAAGTGGGTGAAACAAAACATTGCACATCGAGATAGTTCAGCATTGAATTTCAACACAATATTATAATAAATAACATAGTACTGAATACAATATCAATCTAAATATTATAGAATAATTTCTTACTCTCTAACTATTCTCTTATTTTGTAATTTAGTCAAAACACGAGGTCCCTGCCTCACGGGGAAAGAGTGTGGTGTGCCACGTTTTATTCCACCCACTTGACTGTGCCTTACGGGAAGAATCTGTATCGGCATCCATAAGCAAAAAAAGGCGAGCACGCAGCGTTAAAAATTGGTTGGCAACTTTTCTTTCCCTCTCCGCTTCTTCAGTTTCTCTCTCATCTCCTCGAGTCTTAATCCCTTATCCTAAGGGCGGTTAGTGTCGCCTGTTGCGGTGTGATCCGATTGAGCCGGATCGTCATCGGATTCAAAGTTGGGTTTGGTATTCGTCATAGCCTTCCTGGCATATGGCTCCGTCACGTCACCATCCCAGTCCGAGGGATGAGAAGTATTGATGCTCGGGATGGATGAACGAGAAAGGGGGAAAATGGCTTGAGATTACAACCGCCTACAGACCACTTGGTTGCCGTAATAAACTTTTCTGGGAAATCATGGTATCCCCGTCCAGCCCTCTTTGTATAAAATAATTTGGGAAGGGGTACGACCCCATTGCCATCATTGTCAAGGTCGTCATCTACGATAACCACGATGCCATCATTTGGGGCTGTAATGGCGATGTTGTCGGGTCGATATTCGACGTTGTCATTGTTGGCCATGTCAAGAGGCGGATTGCCATGATGGTTGGCAGGCTCAGGGCCAGGAAGGTTGACAGACTGAAGGTTCTGATTGTTGGTGGGTTGAAGGCCAGGAGGGTTGACAGCCTCAGGGCCAAGATTGTCGAGGGGTTGAGGGCCAGGATTGATGACAGGTTCAGGGCCGGGATGATTGACAGTCTGGAGGCCAGTGGGCTGGTGTCCCGGGGCAGTCGATGGCCGCAGCTGGAATGTAGCAGACCACCAAGATACCTTAATCACTGGGACCGACAGTTCCGTGATATGTTCACAACAACAGAGTCCAAGTACTCTGTTATGCCAACTGACCCTGCTAGCTTCCTGCAATGGTTGGTTGGAACTAATCCAATCTTGGCTCGGCTACTTGATTTGGCGGAACAGATTGTTATGAAAAAGTCGGAAAAGATCTTGGTTTATGCTGATACTCCATGGCTTCAATCGTAAGTTTCGTTCATCTTGATCCACTGGAGCAGGTGTGGTGTGCTATGATACGTCGCGCAGTTATGAAGCTTCGCTTTGTTTCGACTGACAGTACTCTCACATCTTCCTCACTGAGCTCACGTACCGCCTGTCGAAGTGGATTTTGGTCAACCATGGGCGCCATGACCTTGTCGAATAGATACTTAGAGAATACAATACAATTGATGCAATCCATTTATGTGTGACAAATTGTTAGCAATTCCCGCCACGGCCATTTTTTTCGAATCACCAAGCCATAGTGCACTAGGATACGAACCAGAAACCATAAACCACCATTATAGATTCGTTCAAGGTTTATGGGCTTCTTACCAGCTAGATAAGTAATAGAGATTGTGGCAAAATTCGCTTAACCTTTGGATATCGCCGCGCACGACCAAATTTGTCTAGCATTCCAGCAGTTTGGACCAGTTGCTTCTTATCTGTGTCCTACAGCTTAGTTTGCTCAAGGCCTCAAAAGACGATGTTATTCTGGCTGTAGACTTGATAAATTTCTTGACAAGTATGTACTAAGTAAAAACGATGGTCTTCACAATAGAGCGTATCCTGCTACTACCTGAAACCAATGCCCGGCCTGCGAAACGTCAGGCGACGCTCGATTCACTGTTTCGCAACATCACCCGCCCGCCCACGCCTTCGTGTCACAACCAATCCCCGGTGCTGTCAACGCTGTCGCACCCACGAACGAACCATTACCTGCGAGCAAGACGTTGAGCGAGCTACGAAAGATGTCGAAGCAGGATGCACGAGCAACGTGGGACATATTCGGAGAGCTTTTATTTCATTCTTTTATCCTCATCCACATCCTCAGGGACAAACATCCGTCAATCTTGGTGGGGATGCTATAGAGCCTCACAACACCAGGTGAAAATAGAGCATGAGAACGATAGTCGACGAGGACCTACTCGAGCGCGTCACGACGTACGAAAAATCTGTACCCTACGTCCTCAGTTGGACATGCGATCCACTATACCAACTGGGAAATCACGCACACGGCATGGCGCTGAGACCGTTCGATTCATACCACAAACACGCATGGAAACTGTTCGGATGGAGGCTGAAGAAGGGCGCTGAATACGTCGGAAGCTATATCAGACACCTGGAGTTATCCAGCGACTCGTGTCATTTTTAACAATAATAGTGACAATAATAAACGAATAAGAGAGCTTGTCGCAATAATAAGCACCGTAATAGCGTTTGAATCGGGACTTTCGTCCTTGAGAACTCCTCTTGTGGGTTTCAAAGTCTGAATAAAGTGGAAGAGCGTCCACTTCTTTGACCTTGGCCCGGATGATGTCGCATGCCTGTTCCACTTCAATGACACCGGGCATGACTACCAAGATATTGCCTGGTGCAAACTTGGTTGTTGCGATATGGGCAACGAGTCGACAGGCCTCGTGCACAAAGTCGCTGACGTTGGGCTGCATATCAGACTGGCTAGTCTGTGATGTAAGTCGTGGGGTTTCCCCCAAGGAACGAATCTGGACTTGGTGTGTTATACCTGGCAGGTAAATCTGTCGTACTCGAGCGTTCTCCTTGAAATAGTCGACAAATTTGACGATACTAATGGTGGCTGATGACGACCTTGAGCCTGGTAATCGATTTGCTTCGAAGTTGGATGGCTCGTCGCGCCAACACTATCAATAGGTAGATGTTGGTGTTGCATTCGTGGGCCTCGTCGATGATTATCGTGTGATAATCGTTGAATTTGGGATCGTTGAAGGCCTGGGTGGCCGACGATCCAAGGACACACTTGAAGAGGTAAGAGCCTGATGTTAGGAATAAGAAAGGCTACTAAAATTATACTTTTGCCTTTCACATGAAGTGCATCGCCATGGGTTTCACCGATGGCCTTGGTTAGAGCTTGAGGCGTGGTGAAAGATATGGTTCGGGGTTCATCCTGCGCTATCGATACCGGTGTTGGATTGGTATCTATTGATACTGCTGTTGAAGCAGGAGACCCCTGGTGATAGTAGTTTATTGGTTCAATCCTTGTGAGCATTGGGCGATGGCCGCGGCTCACTTATTACATGGGAAATACGAAGAAAGGAACTATCCACCTCGAAGTAGTACAAATATAATATTTTTAACTCCCTAAGATAAATGCCTTTGGCCTATTCAACCAATTTAACCACCCCAACGCCCTTGAGTCCGGTATCAATAATTCAATATTCACCACCTATGGCGTATAGAAATATTCAAAGCCGAGGTAGCGATTAAGTTTCCACTGGTGGATCGCAAATGTTCGAATAAATCTTCTGTCTTGTTTATTGTACAACTTTACCAACTGAGCAATGGCAGTATATTAGAATTAACAGTCGTCGAGTTTCAGTTTGATGGGAGGACCAGGGGTACGCTCCCTCTGACAAGACCTTGAAATCAGATTAGAATCGAAACAATATCAAGATCAAACAGGCTCCAACTTACACAATCTTCAGGGACGCGTCATCGTAATGCAAATTTCCCTCCTTCTTCGTGATGAACTTGCACTTGTACTTTCTGGGGCAATCCTGGCCCTTGGGGCAATGATGGCTGAGCATACAATCGAAATCTGCGCACTTTACCCCGTTGTTGCAATGAGAGCCGCGGACCTTCTCCCTATGGACCAGGAGTTCCTCCTCGGTGAGCTCCACATCGTGCACCTTTTCGCAGTCCTCTGCCCAGCGACATTGGCCATTCAGGTACCACGAGTTGCAGAAGATCTTTTGTTTTGTGCCGGCGGATTTCAGTGCAGTGAGCTTCTCCATGTATGAATCCTTGGCCTCCTGACTGGGTTCGTCCAGCTCGGGGTCTACTCGAGCTCCATTCTTGTTGAAATAGATGTATTTAGCGGACCTGACTGGCTGGAGGATGGCAGGTGGGAAGCCATCGTTGCTTGCTGATGATGCGTGACTGGGTGAGAGTCTGATGGGCAGTGTCTGCTTCACAGGCACGGCCTCATCTAGAATCGGAGACCCGACCATCGTCGAGGGGCTTGGGGGGCAAGTCAGACTTTCTGTGGGTAGGATCTCGCGGTCAATTGTAAAGAAAGGGCTTCCTGTTGGGAGACGCTCCTTTCTAAAGACATCACCGAAACTCAACATTTTGAAGCCGATCGGCTTCAATAAGTAGCTGGCGGGGGTTGTTTCGACTAAGAAGATGCGCTTCTCTGGCTCCTCGAGGTTGTTGAAATGTTCCTTGAGAGCATGGCTGTAGCCTCCGTCATGACAGCCGACAAAGTAGATTCTCTCACACCGAGGGTCGGTGCAATAGTACTCCAGCATTCCTAGAAAGACCATAGGTTAGCAGTGTAAATCGACAGCGAATGACCAAGGCATCTTACTCTTCATCTTGCAATCTGCGTTCTCTTTACCATAACCAACATTGATAAACTCAAACTCAGCACGGCTGTTGGTGAAGTGCTCGAAGAATCTGGAGACCTTCTCCTTGTAGTCAACAATTCCGGATTGGTGGATAGCGTTCGCCAGATTGTCAAGATCGGCATAAACGCGAGCGAAGACGGGTAGGTCCTTCACACCTGTCGACTTGAGATGGTCTTTGATGTTCTCATGTAGCCTCCGGCAAGCTTCAGGAGCTCCTTGGGCAGGCGTCTGTAGAAACGCCTCATGGAAGATTGCACCATCGCCGTCAATGAGAACCGCGACGTAAGAGTTTTTTTCCTATGGGCTCTGGTTAGTACCTGAAACTGGGAGGGGAATTCTCGGCTGCGGACTTACTACGCTCTTTTGGTACTCGGCAATCTGCTTGCTCAGTTTCTCCATTTCTCCCTGATAGCGCATGCGCAATTTTCGTTGCTCGTTCAAATTTAGCTTGAGACGGGCAGCCTTTACTTCACTTTCATCAGCCCTTTTTGCCAGATCCTAGACATGGCGGGAAGAGTTAGTAATGCTAAAGTTGAGTTATACATGGCAGCGTTTGAGTGGAGTGAATTGTACCTTCAAGAACTTGTTCCTGTCGTCCTCTTGTTTCAAGATTTTCTGAAGAGAAGGACCCTCCTTCCTCTTCTCGAAATTCGCATTGTGTCGTGTCTGAGGAGCCATTGCGAAGGATTGAGTTAAAATACGAGCAGTACAGAGATGTGCTTGGGAATTGGTGCGTGCAGATTTAACGAGTCAGAGCCAGAACGACAGATATCGGGATAGAAAAGCTTCTGGAGCAAGACTGAGGTTGGGAGGCTCCTTTTATGCTATAATTCTGTCTATTTCGCTTTGCGCGCGGAGAGCATCGATACGTGAGAGCACTAAGTGCCGAGTATCTCAAGGGATGAGGGAACAAAGAAAGTTCTTTGTTCCGCTCCACGAACTAGGGCATGCAAGGACAGTCACCCGAAGTATTTTGCCCAAAGAATAACTGCGACAGTGCTATGTAGTAGGCGCGCACACAGCCATTGTCTCTAAATTCGACCTTGCACCAATCAATTAATTGCAAATAATGAGCAGTTGTTCTGCCTCCCACCACAAAGCTTGAGAAGACTAACATTAGTGCCTGTACACAGCCGTTAGTGGCATGAGAAAGCGCTGGCTTGGGCGGCCTGGCCCCGTGGCGTTCTTTTACAAGGCAAACTCTGAATTCGGTCGCCGTAAACTTGGAGCTTAACTCTTTATGTTGTTGATCTCTGAGTGGGCATCACTATGCAGTGTTCCTGTTGTGCTAGGTCTGTCGCCCCTCACTTTCACAATGGCATCTCACGCACGTCAGACCCTAATGAATTGCTAGAACTATGCACGTGAGTTATTTGTTACCCTAACAGAGGTTACACTCTATCATGCCATCTGATCTATAGAGGGTATGAGTATACGATCGAACCTTTTCAGGACTGTACATTGTATCCAATAGTTCGGTAAGAATAAACTAATCAAGCCTTCATGCTTAACACAAGCTTATCATTGGCGCGACGAGAATGAGCCAAACAAGGGTGCCAGTTCTCAGCATGTAACAGAACATTCCGTCATTGTTTGATGTTGACTAGGCCACTGACGCACCAATCAGACATATCGGCACCGGCTACTACGTGTTTCAGGTTCAACCACGCTGAAGAACAAGGGTGTTCGTCTGTCAGCTCAAACTACGGTTGTGGATCTTCCGTTCCCAGATGAGATGGAATATACGACTGGCGCGAAAAACTGAAACGAAACGCCGAAAGCGCTTGCCAATACCCTTTCGGACGAGAAATTTTCGTATTCACTAAAATGGAGGGCTGATTGATTAGGAGATTTCATGACTCCTAGACCCAGAAAGCGTCACCACTTGTAATGGCCCCATGGTTCGCGTCGACAATATCCCTGTTGCTGAGCCAGGGAAGGACCCGTTGTATCCGGAGAGCACGTTCCGGCAAGAGTTGAGATGATGCCTCGTGAATAAAATAAGAAGCCTCCCGCAGCCTGGATTGAAGCTTTTTGGAATTCCCAAGACCATCGTTCTCTATCAGATTCCTTGTTTTGTCCTTCGTTCTCATATTCATTCAAGGCTGGTCCTTCGTTTTATTATCAACAAACTTACCAACTGCACTACTGTATATTGCTCAATAACATTCACACCAACATCATGCGTGCCTTCGCTCTCTCTGCCGCTCTCCTTAGCGGGTTCCTAACCTGCACTTCCGCACTCTCTGACCTGGATGGATCGGTCTGGAAGAACATTGAATCCAAGGTGGACTCTAGGTCCATCAAGCGACTCTCGAACCGTCCCGTCAAGCGCCAGTCTGGATGGAGCCCGCCATCCGAACTCTCGACAGCTCTCACTGAGGTCTGGAGCCACTATGAATCCACCTACACTGGTGGTCCATTCGCCGAGACCAACTGGGGATGGCACCAGATCATGAAAAACAAGGGGTCAGTATCTAAGACTCTGAATGATTATGCGGGCGGCTAACTTTCCTCAGTTCTCTCAGCATTTGCGTGCGCTGGGACTCGACTGCAAGCGTCACCGAGGCGCAGCGAACGCAGACTGCAACCAAGTATGCCGAGCAATACGAGAAATGGTTCACTTGGCTGTATGGATTCGACGGATTCCCTTACTCTGCCATCGACGTCAAGATTGTCGGGTGGGCCGTCAAGGACAAGAGCCTCCTTCAGGGATCCACGGATGGCATCACTGTGTACACTGAATTGGACGCCGACGGAGTCCCGATGTGCACTGAAGGCCAGTTTGACCACTCGCTTTGGCTCACAGACGGACTTGAGGGAGGCTTCGGCTACACCTGGGGTCAGCAGGTCGGCCGCGAATACTTCATGAACAACATTGAGTCCGAAAACATCCACATTCTGCTGCATGAGATGGTAAGATGCTCTTGACTGGAGAATGCATTGACCCGATTTGCTAACGGACTCGATATAGGGTCACACATTTGGTCTTGATGACTGTAAGTTTCTCTCTCTATCTTCGCTATTGACCTATGGCTAACTTGAGATTTTAGTTTATGGTATGGAACAACGAAACTAGACATTTTTCTGCGTTTACACCTAGCTTACTGACTACTTTTAGACTGGACCCCAACTGGCGTTACCAACTTCATCATGCTCGCTGGATCTGCTATGGAGGTGACCGACTTTGACGGCTGGATGTTCCGCAACTGGTGGTACGAACTCGCCCAGAAGAACAACTGGTCCAGCGGAAACACCGACTCGACCGGCTCTCCCTCTTCAGCCAGCTCCGCGGTTGCAACCACTCCTGTAGCTACCGCTCCCGCCGCGACCGCGCCCGCCACGACTGCTGCTCCTTATCCCACCACCACCCCCGGTGGCTCGCCCGCTTCTACCGTCAGGACCAGGACCCGAACCAGAACCAGGAGCTCGAGCGGAGCTGTCGAGACGCCCACCCAGGCTACACCTGTTGTCCCGGCACCTTCCCAGGGAGGCTTCCAGGGCGGCATGGCAGCGAAGAAATGGGGACAATGCGGCGGAATTGGTCACTCGGGCTCGACCGAATGTGCTGAGGGGTTGGAGTGCGTTCAGCAAAACGAGTACTACTTCCAGTGTCTGTAAGAGAGATATACTGCCTTTCGCTTTCGTGGACACATTGTGTTATTAGTAGAGCTTAGTGAAAAGATCAATTGGTGGTATAATAGGCTACCATTTGCCGAATTCTGTATTGATACCGCAGGTCAAAGTGAGGACCGTTCAGTAGTAATACAACCCATCATCAGTGCCATCTAATTTTCCCTCGGCTTGCAACTTCAGTAAAGCCTCCTTGCTCCTCGCCACCATCGCCTTTCCATAGTCCGGGCCCAGCGGCGGCGCCGGCTTGTCCATGTCCTGTCTCACCCAGGGTAATTTGGGCGAGGTGATGGACCTGGCGATTTCGGTGCGTATCAAGAAGATGGTGGCGTCATCAAATGCCCCTCCGAGAAGGACAGCACGCACACCCCCTGCCACATTGCCTGTGCCGATTCTGCTGCTTGGCGACTCGGGAGTCTCTCCTCGAAGAATGAATGGAACCTCCGTGATGACTGCTCCGGGGTTCATGATGAATTGGACCACTTTGGTTTGTCTTGGTTAACATGGTATTCTGGCACATCCGTTTGTCCGACGCGGTGGTTGAGAGCCCATACCTTCAAACTCGGGTTTCAACCCTTCAATAACTCCTTGGCCAATCTGCTCTGTTTTCCCGCAGAGGATGATGGGGATGGGGGTTGAGGCGGCCATGGCTGTGTGACTTTGATAGCATGAATTCGCGGTTGAAAGGAAGAGAAGATGAGAAGGCGCGCGAGGAGTCTGGCTTTGGAGTTAAAATTTAGCTCATTGGCTGGTGAATGTGGAGAGAATGCATCGAATGTCATGTCAGCAGCTAGCACATTCCATGTGACGACCCTCATCCCAGTTCCCTCATCAACTGAAACAATGCAGGGTCTAGCTTATGAGCCTGTCAGCAAGACATGAATCGCAGACAGCTTGCCGGCTGCACACGGAAAATAGCTGTAAATGATGAGAAATTGAATTAGACGATTGCTTGGCCGAGCCATTACCCCTCAAGTACCGATCCACCTGATGGCGGGGTTGTACAGTCTATCCACTGCAGCTAAAGATGTGAATGCTAAGCTTTGGAGCAATGCTAGTCATACTCCGATTAACGGTTCAGTTTAGAAGAAAGGCAGAAACCTCATTCTCGAAATGCTATTGGATCAATCGGATTTTCGGAAACCGAGCTGGGTCTTAACGAAATATCATTTATTGAAAGCAAGCATTCCCTTCTTTTAGTTTTGCTCCATATATATGAGCTCACCCAGAGACCACGAACATTTTTATACGGAATAAATATGGCGGGAAAAAGGCTTTCAAAACTTTACCTTCACCGTGTTGACCGCACTCCTTGCTTGTGGTGTTGTTCTTTGACCCCGACTAGTGGGTGACATGAGAAATGAGACACTCGAACATTAAGCTGCTTATTCTCGAGTCTGTGGCCGGTATTATCAAATTATCAAGTACTAACAATACAAAAATCAGAGACAATACAGTATCTATTATCACTATATACTACTGTATTTCTGGATTCAAATTCAAAGAGAGTCTCTTTGCAACTACTCTTCTGTTCGGTGTCTTAATTCTCATGTCACCTACTTGACCGATTACCTAATTCGCCCCAGGATTCCAAGATCTGGCTTAGTTGATTAATGAATACGAGAAGAAAGAGTTGATCGCGAAATTCATGTTAAAGGGGTAAATAATTCGAAAGCTGAAGTCTGTTTCATAGTGACGCTTGAGTTCCCAGAGCTATTGGATTGAGTTGCAAAGCCAGAAACGAACACTCGAGTTCTGGTCAACGTAGCAGATGCCAAAGCTTACACTTGTGAGATGCGAGTAGGCCCAGTCGCTGACAAATTTTGATTACTGTTATCCTGAACTTGATCAGCTCCGGTTCATCTCGGATGTTGGGGCATAGTCGATCCGATGGAATCACTGAGGAGTATTTATCTCCGTCTTGTTCCCAGGAAGAGTAAGTTTTGTGTTGAACAAGATCGTGGAATGATAACTCGAGGAAACTTCATGTAGAAGTATTGCGTAAGCGGCGTCGTAAGATGGACCGGTTGGTGATGTTGAGTATATTCCACGGACTTGAAAGAGTATGTGTTGGTAGGAAGAATGGAGATGCGTCACTAAAAGGGCGGATGACGACTGCTGATGCAGCCCACTCATGATGCCACCCTGCCCTGGCCTTATATCGTCTTCCCCGCCCAGCTTACTTCCAACTGTGTTACTTTCTCCCGTTTAGAACCTCTTTATGACAGGCCGCATGTACCAATTGCGAGATGGCAACTAAATACTATATCCGCCAGGGTGGATACTCAGACCTGAGAGCCACAGGTTCTATTTACGAACAGACAATTGGCAGATCGTCTCTTTTTGATATTCTTTTCCCCGGCCACCAAGTTGAGCCTGAACCCTTCACAAAGTGGGTAACTCGATTGTTTTGGAAGCGGTATTGGTCGCTTGGATATTCACTCAAAGTCCTGGTTGCCAACGGCGAAAATGATGGTTCAGGTCAAAGGCAGGCACAGGGAAGCGAGAAGTTGGTAGGCTTCACTTGGTGGGTTCGGCCGGTTGAATCAATGTCGTTTTATGAGCGCTGGATCTCCCCAAGTAAGTGAATAAGAATCTCTGCAGATGTTTGCATTTGTCAAACCCAATCGAATGGGCCTAAGATGACCTTCGCGACGATTGACAAGGTGATGCTAATGTGACTGAGCAAAAGATGCATGGGCTTGCTATACAATGAGCACACTCATCAAGTACTTGAACCTGTTTTACCCAGTCGCGGGTCTCGATTTCGGTCCCTTGGCCGCGACCAACCGCATTTTCGATCCAATAACAGATGGGCTTCGCAATACTCCCCGAAGGCGCAGCGCTTGGTTCCTCTCTGCTATATGCGTCGATCCCAAGTATCAGGGCAAAGGGCTTGGGAAAATGCTTCTGCTGGATGGCCTCAGTGAGGCTGATCGCGCAGGCGTAGCGACCTGGATCATCGGGCTTGCGGGAGTAGAAGACTTTTATACTCGCCATGGTTTCGTCGAAGCTGGAAGGGTGAATGTCGAGGATTTTGAGGCTTGGGATGGCGGAAGTGTTATGTTTCGGGAATAGATCTCAAGGTGAACAGAGGCAAAGGGACGTGGACTCTTCAGCGAATTTAAACCAATATTGCTAAGCCTAGGCCAATTGGGTTGCAACAGTCGAGGGTAGAGTGGAAGTGTCCAACATCTTGAGACAGGTTAGAGCAGGATCTAAATCTCAGCACACAACATGATTGAATGGTTTTCATCGCCCAATAAATAATTAAGGGATAAGATCGCAGAGGTATGCCTCGATTTCCAGGTCAATTGGTGTCAATGTAAGAAGAACAAGGCTCTATGTGAGTCTCAGCGTGCGCGTGTCTCTTGCTAGGTACAATAAAGAGATAAATCACGATACGTCATATGAAGATCTAGTACATCTGACAGAGTTTTTAGTAAATTCTGATCTGATGTGATTGAGAGAAGATCACGGGTTTATCGGTTCAAGATCCAATTAAAACCCACGGACTTGCCAGTGGAGCCCGGATGTAAGCGGCCGCTCTGGTCATGCATCATGGCCGGACTTAAGCTCATCTGTCTTCAACTGGGATTTGGGAAGGCTGGAATATACTTTTACTAAGGCAAGGAGAACAGAGAGAAAAGTATAAAGACTATTCATGGTGCAGAGATGAGATGATCTTGTCTCTCGCCTCATCCTGTTCAACGCATGTACTGAACTATTTTATTACATCTTCTTCTCCGAATCTTTACTACAAATATTCAAACCAATTATCCCATTATGTCTAGAGTCTGGTTTGTTACAGCTGCCTCTCGAGGGCTTGGTCGCGAGATTGTCGAGGCTGCTTTGGCAGCCGGAGACAATGTCATTGCAACGGCGCGGGATCCTGCCTCGCTCGAACATTTCACGAAGAAATATGGATCCGACCGTGTTCACCCTTTTGCCCTGGACGTGACGGACAGTGACCAAGTTTTCAGTGTGGTCAAAGATGCCCACAAGGTCTTTGGGCGTATTGACATCGTTGTCAACAACGCTGGATTTGCGCAGACAGCATCGCTCGAGGACATGGATGTGGAATCCTTCAAACGCCAGGTTGACACCAACTTCTTCGGAACTGTGTGGGTCACTAAGGCAGTGGTTCCCATTATGAGAGAGCAAGGAAGCGGCCACATCATCCAGATATCCTCTGTTGGTGGCAGGTTGGGAACTCCCGGCATGTCAGGGTACCAGAGCGCTAAATGGGCCGTTGGGGGCTTGACCACCGTTTTGGCTGCCGAGGTGGCCCCCTTTGGAATAAAGTTGACAGTTCTGGAGCCCGGTGGTATGAAGACCGACTGGGCTGGTTCTTCCATGGAGCACGGCGTTATGAGCGAGCCCTACAAGCAGACCGTCGGCGCTTTTGAGGAGCTCCGAAAGACCTATGAGCCTCACTGGACACCCCCTGAAAAGGTGGCGAATGCCGTTGTTCTGCTGAGCAAGGTTGAAGACCCTCCTCTTCGTCTTCTCGTGTGTCCCGAGACCCCACAGATTGCGAAGGCTGCGGCAGCTAAACTGGCAGAATCTGATGCCAAGTGGGAGAACTTTTCTATAAACCTGACGCTCTGAATCAATTAGGACAATGCATGCTAATTTTGGTGGAAACTAGAAGCAATAAAGCGTGGTGGTTGTTCAAAGGGTTGTATGTTAGAATCAACAGTGGTAGTTAATGGTTAAAGTGATTATCGGGGCTGGGAAAACAGCGAGAAAGACCATTCTAAAGTTCCATATAACATGAAGACTACTTTAGGTCTTAAAGAGGATCACTATGAAATAGATACTGAAACATGAACCTCTGCAGAGAGTTGTATAAGTCAACCTATGTATAAACCATGCTGATGAAGTGAGGGCCAGTTAAGTTGAAGACAATTCATTCAAACAGCCAGATATTTAATTAATATTAATATTCGACTTAGCAATCAAACGAGACTTTCATAGACGCGGTGGAAACAGGAGGCGGGGTTTCGAACCAATGAGCGATTGCTTGCTATCTGCCCCGTATGTAACTTACCTACCTAATATGGAAATAGGAGACGATCGGTTTTAAGGAATGATAATCGCAAAGATTAGCTGGGGCCTAACGAAAGAGAGGTTAAGTACCTCTGCCGCTCCCATGGCTTGTCCGTGGCCTGTCATTGTTCGACACCACGGCCATCACCGACTATGAGGGCGCCGTTTGTCTCGCTGTTACTTCTCGTTGCGCCTACAATTGCCCAAGAGCTCACGCTCGCCCAGCGCGGGGATACCAACTGCACAGAGGTCCACATCTTCCTGGCGCGTGGAAACAACGAACCCTACCCCGGTCGCCAGTCAAAGCTTGTTGCCGCCATTTGTGAAGGACTGAAGAGTTGCGACTATGAAGACATCGCGTATTATAATCCCTTTGAAGCCCCGTACTGCGAGTCGGTAGCAGAAGGCGCTTCAAATGGCATCTCACAGATAACGGCCTACAATGCGCGATGCCCTGAATCTAAGTTGGTCGTCAGCGGATATTCACAGGGTGCTCATGTCGTTGGCGATGTCTTGGGTGGTGGGGGAGGGGTATATTTTCAAGGCTGTGTCCAAACCCCTAATGACGGCTTGGACTTTGAAAAGGCTCCCGGAAACATGAGTAAGTGAGCATAAGGGCGACCTAGAACCGACGTTGCTGATTGTTTCGCAGTCCGTGCTGCTCTCCTGTTTGGAAATACACTTCATACCGCAAACCAGCCCTTCAATTATGAAAGCGGTTCTGGTGGTAGTGGCCTATTCCCGCGTTCTGGAGATAGACTCGCTGGGCTCAACAAATTCGCCAGTGTGCTCCGTGACTATTGTGTTGCCTCGGACCCAATATGTGCCGATGGTGATGTTGTGGCCAATCATCTTAATTACTTCGACATTTATTCGACAAACGCGGCGAGCTGGGTTGTCGAAAAGCTGGGGTTGGAAGACGGGTCTACATCAAATGTCTTGAGCACCACCACCAGAAGTACCGCCAGAAGCAGCACCGATATCAGTAGAAGCAGCAGTAAGTCTGAGGCCAGTTCCGCATATGCTAGCGCCACATCCTTCTCTGAAGCTGCCTCGCAGACGGAAGATACGACCGCTTCAGAGACATATGCCAGTACTGCTTCCGAAACGCAAGGCACAACCGAGCAGACTACGCAGCCTACGTCATCTGATTCACAAGACAATGCCCCGGACGCTTCAGATGGTAGCAGCTTGGTTTCCTTAAGCAGTATCTCAATGGGATTAATTCTGGGCTTTGTCATATCCACCTTTGCATGGTGAAGAGGGGTTAGAGTTTTGGCTGTAAAGCATAAGGACATGCCTACGGTCAAATTGACCGAGTTTGTAATGGCGAATGCATTTTTTCTCGGGCGGGTATTTCGATGGATAGACGAAGGATATGGAAATTTGAACAGTTGATTGTAGCTTATTTGCGGCGCGAAAATACTGAGAAGATAACAAATAGGGCAAAAGTATCGTAAATAAGGACTTGAATAGGGATAGATTCTAGGAAGTCAAGTAAAAGTAAAAAGCATCCTGGAGGGCTACAGAAAGTATGAGAAGCAAGAAATAAAAAGCAAGAAATGAGTATATGTCCACATCATCTATATTGATTGGACCACGTACGAAGTTGAGAAAATTGGCTACTAGGTCTTCAATATAGTCTTTCCAGCTACAGAGTCAATCCATTGTTTCCTGGTTTAATAACAAATTAACCCGCCATGGGAAAAGGCAACCAGACACTGTCTTTCTCATAGAAGGAGTTGATTTAGTGGATGAGCATAGAAGAAATCTAATATCATAGGAGTGGCCTCGAACTTTGCAGGCCTTCCTTTGTTGTCGCTGTTATGCGATTTCGAAGGCCAGTGATGCCCAAGTTCTGAATCGAAGACGTGAGTAACCAAGCCCTCCTTGTCACCGAAACCATACTTGGTGATACTTGTGGTGGGCGTGTCGGCTGCCAATTGCGTGGTGTTACCTTTCACGTCGAGTGCATTGTTTCTCACCCATGTCTCTATCCACCAGGGAACACTGGGAAGACACTCTCCGGGCCTTCTAGCGTAATCACCACGATAATTTGCTGTCACATCGCTACCGCCATGGATCTCAATAATAGGAACATCTGTCCTTCCTGGGGAACAAGGGATTGGGAACGTATATGGTTCCACACAAGGCTTAGCATTGGTGTAGAGGAGAGGGGAGACTAGAGCGAATGCAGCGAAAATGTGTGATAGAGTCGGGTCACATGCAAGCACTCTTCCGACTAAGCCTGCTCCCTGAGATTTCCCAGCAGCAAATATTCGATTCTTGTCAATGCAATAAAGTTCTTGAACTGCATTGAGGATGGACTTGGTGAACTCGATATCGTTGGCAGTAAAGTTTCTCAGGCCGAGAGCCCAGTAGTGCTGCAACTGGGATTAGTCTTAAATTACTTGAATTGTGAAACAGTCGCCTATACCTTATAACAAGTGCTATCCCGGGCACAGTTCGACTTCGTCAAACCCTCCGGGTACACGACTAATTTGTCCGTGTTATGCTTAGGGTCAGTAAACTGATCTAATTTGAGCTGTCTTTGTACGTCTCGAGAACCAGCATGATAGGACACAATGAGAGGTGCGGGTTTGTTGATAGAGTATCTTTGGGGTATGGAGACAAGATAACGTCTGTTATTGATAGAAGCTTCATAAACTCCTCCTGGTTGTTGTCCATTGGGGAGAGCTCTACCACAGCCAGCGGAGGCGCTCTGCGTGGAGACAAGTGCCGCGAGCGCGGATAGAACTATGAATGCGAGGCGAGCCATTTTTGAAGAAGAAAAGGCGATGAATGCTCTCCGGGTTCATACAACGCGAGGTAGATTATAAGAAAATAGAGTATCAAATAGTCTCAACAGGAATGTAGAGATAGTTCAATGAGGAACATTATACTATCACTGGCCTTGGTTTGTCTCTTTCTCCCTGCGTTCGTAAAGCCAAGACACACAATGAGACAAAAGTCAAACAGTTACCGGTTACGACTCATAAAACCGTCGCTCATCATGTAGAGCTGGGGAGGCCTCATGAGCCTGAATGAATATCCCTGCAGAAGTTCTTTGTTCAAAATTGCATATACGCATGTTTCGTTTCTTTGAAAGCACGCCACACGTGATGTGTCTTGGTGGGAGCTGGTGTGGTGGCTGTTGATGTTCTGGCTGGATCACCCAATTTCAAATATTCATCTAACAACTTCAGTAACAAAAGCGAGCCCTCGTCGTCGTAGCAATTGAGTATATGTTGTATTCTTTGATGTGACTGATCCTTTTCCCCTGCACATGAATTTCTGTGAAGGTGGTGGATTCTGGTTGCAGTGCATCGGATTTAACGAACTGGGGATCGTCGAATATGCACAGAGAGCCCAGTGTCTCATATGTCCCAAAACTCACCTATTTCCGCCGAAGTCTGCGTGCTCAAGACTAGGAGGCTTGTTCTAGACCGTCCAGGCAGAGATTTGGCTGGCTGGATGTCTAAGGCGGTGGATAATTATACTATTGGTCGGTTGCCTTGACTGCTAGTACATTTCTGGGTCTCTACACCTAGAAGCTCTATTTTCCGGTACCCCTCTACAAATATCAGGTATAAGTCTTATTTTGGACTTCACTTTCTTTAAGGACTTGCTACGCGAGAATCGAATCATTTCAAGACAGTCGAAGTTTATCATATCCGGTGTGGTAGCTCCACGAACGTGCTTGAAGTATGGCTACAAGTTCATCAATTCTAGAGTCGAAAGGCTTCCAATTTAGAAATTGGCCGGGAGGAGAAGAAGCCGCGGAAGGTTTTGGGCTGTCACACGCAGTCATCATTCCAGCAAACGCGCGCAGAATTATTGTTGGTGGCCAGCTTGGTATCCGAGATGACGGCTCGGTCCCGGAAAATATCGAAGAAGAAGTCAAGCTGGCGTTCGACCATGTCTTGGCAGCACTCAAGTCGGCCGGTCTCGGAGACGATGCGTTTGAATATGTCTATTCGGTAAGAGCGACCTATCCCTTGACGATTCGATTTTGGCACTAGATGGACAGCAACTTATGATACGCAGGTCAAAACGTTTGAGCTCAAGTACAAGGGGAAGTCTATCGTTGAACCAGTGGTTTCGATCGCGAGATCATTGCTGAAGAATACTAAGCCTGCTTGGACTGGTGTTGAGGTTGCCGCATTGGTTCATCCTGATGTACATTTGGAGATCACCGTGGAAGCATATCTTCCAAATTAAATACAACTGTCATTTTAAGACTCGAATACCAACCAAAATACGCTATTGTATGAAGATTTGTTCTTTTTCATCTTCTTCCCTTTTTTTTTCTAAAAAGTAGCCGCGCAGGATTTCATAGTTCTTCTGTCTCTGTTCTAGCATGTTGTGATATTCATCAAGTCATCACAAACCGACCCGTCGTATTATGGTGAATCACAGATAGTGGTTCAACTATTCAGCTTGCGATGGTAAACATATCCATGAATCGGGAATAACACGTATGCTTCAATATGAGTGTATTGACTTATACTAACTTAAGCAACTACAATTCCCTCGCCCTGGGTATACACTGAATCGGTAGCAAGTATCGAGGCTCCCTCAGACATGTCCATAGAGTCATAGCTTCCGCCGGCAGGCAATGCAAGCTGCTCAATTGTACCCTTCTTTCCACCTTTTACGTCGCTGGCGAGCTGGTCGTAATGCTTATCTACTTCCTCAAAAATATTGTAGTCGGTAACCCAGGGTAGAAGCGGGATAATGAGAGAGCCTGGGTACTGCTCAATGAGCTCAGGGGTCCAGTCATTGTTATGATAAATGTTGCGGGTAGAAATAGAGGCCTGGTGAATGACATGCGACCTATTGAACCGTATTCGTTCGAAAACCTGAAGACCAAGCTCTACATCACCTTGGCATTTTTGCAGACACATGGCAACAGCGGTGGCGTCTTCGACCGCCTGGCAAGCACCCTGAGCAGAGGTTGGCAAATGACAGTGAACAGCGTCACCCATCACGGCGCATCTCTTGGACGGCGAGAGCCAGGTTGTGACGGGGTTTCTCCAAACCAGCTTGTAGTCGATCAAGCGGTCCTCTGGCGTAACCTTGGTGATGCTTCGCCAAACGTCGGGGAACCCTGCCTTATCAAGATAATGCAGCACGTCCGACTTCTTGGCCTTCTCAGACCAGGACTCCGCAATATCCGACTCATCCAAGTGTGTCAGAACCCAAGCACAGTCCCTTGAATGTATGTTAGAATTTTAAACCAAATAAACATTGCGTTTGGGGAACTCACTTTCCACCCTTCCAGGTGTAGATGAAACCATGCATGTCTCGGCCAACCCAGCAGCGCACAGTATCCTCGCCTTTGTTTACCATCTCGGCAACCAGGGGATCCTTGAGCATTTCGTCCGTGATATTGAAAAAGGCTCTGAAGATGGCATAGCCGCTGTTGACTTTCGATTCTTTCAGGCTTAGCAGCTGCTCGCGAGCCAAGGATTTCGGCCCATCGCAGGCTAGTACAACATCTCCGAGAATCTTCTCGCCTCCTTCGACGACCACTCCGCGCTCTTTCTCAGTGTCAAGGTACTGAACAACGCGTTTGCTGAATTCCATCTGGACACCGATCTCCCGCGCATAGTCGTAGACAATTTCGTGGAGTTCTCCACGGTGCCCAGCGTACACGTACTGAAAGTCGGTCCCCTGTGGCCACACATCACGCCGGAGAGGCTGGTTTTTGGAATTGAAGAACTCCAGAAACTTGGCCTTGTTGACACCTGCTGCTGCCAGTCTGCGACCGACGGCTCCATTGTCCCATGACTCGAAGACGCGACCGGCATTGCGGACAAAGTCAAGAAGATCGCCGTGCGAGCTTGCACCAGGATACGCTTCGACCAAGATAGGATGCAGGCCTCTTAGTTTGCATTCGATGGCTGCGGTGAGGCCGCAAAAGCCAGCACCGACAATGACTACCCGGAGCGGGGAGTTGGAAGCCATGGTAGATATCAGATGAGAAACCTAGGTGCAATAAGTTGATCTTTAACACAAATAGGTTTCGGGCGTTTGAATTTAGTTGCTGAAGTCTGAGTTGAGGAAGCACCTGATCTTCAATCGCCAGGTTCAATTGCCTCGGCGATTGAAGTTTCTTATCAATACTCAAACTACAGTGCTGAGGTTTAGCATAGACGTAGCTCTCAAGGTCTAACCCATATTGTAACAGCGCTCGGGGACCGCGGACAGCCGGCCGCTTTGGAACAAGGCAGCCAATGAGGTATTAATCCTTCAAGGGCTCGGAAATCTCATGACATAAACCGACGATATCATCAATGTGATAGGAATCGGTTCCGAACAATACCTTCAGCATCGTCGTCTCACGTTTACTCAGACCTCTTAGAGGTCATTGGTGTATTGGGCTATTTGCATGTTTCTATGAAGCATTTCCCTCATCTGATATCGCATCTATGCCGTTCCGAGAGATGAGAAAACCATAGGTAGCCTAAATGAAAAAGCCATGCCTATTTTGTGCCACCAAGTCTGTACGCTTGACTAGATTTGAGACTCGATGAACGACAATAGACAGGTAATCCATTTCAAGATCGTATTCTCTCGGTCTTGGCTCTTTGGTTCCGCGGGACGGCAATGAGATGTGATCTTATCGGAATGCGGGGAAGGCGACTAGCCTCGACTAACCCAAAGTTGGAGGCCTATGATAATGATTCGTCCCGCCTGGTTTATTACCCCTTCCCTTGTCTGATCTGTCATCGTTGCCATAACCGAGAATTGAATGAGCTTTGTGCTCATTATTACCTTCCTTGAAGCCATTCACCTACCAGACCTCAAGCCTTTTAACATTTTCCTTCGCCTTTCCCTCTTCAATTTCATCGTAAGCCGAATATCACAACTAGACAACCTCAACAGGCTGAGACATAATCTCCAAGACTGGCAAGATGGCGGACAGAGCGAGTATTTCCAAGGAGGCCGGTCTGGGGAAGGCGGTCAACTCTGATGATAGAGATGCTGAGGTGCTCGAGAACATGGGAATCACACCCTCTGAGATGAAGCGGAGTTTCAATGTTTGGTCGCTTCTCTTCATGTCATTCTGTACCAGCGTGACATGGGAAGCGGTCTCCTCGGTTGTCGCCCAAGCTCTCACCTCAGGTGGATGCTCAAGTTTTGTCTGGGGCTTCGTTGCTGCCGCTGCCGGGGCAATGCTGGTCGTCTCTTGCCACGGAGAATATGCCAGTATGATTCCGACAGCAGGAGGCCAGTACCACTATGTCGCCGAGATGTCTCCTATGAAATATCGGAGGATCTTCTCTTGGTACGCCGGCTGGATGACCATGATCGGTTGGGTTCTTTGCGCTACCGCCGGTACTTTTGCTGGTGTGATGCAAATTCAGTCCTGGATCATTCTTTTCAAAGAAGATTATGTGTACGAACGGTGGCACACAAGCTTGGTATGTATGATTTGTGGCTCTGGCCCAGCAAACCCAACTTCCTAGGGTGACGCTCGCTGACGCAGGGCATCATAGATATTTATGGGGTTTACAACTTACTATTCGATAACAGCCATTTTCCAGCTGAAATATTTACACTATATGATCTTTTTGGCGATGTTTGCGCACATCTTTGGATATCTCGCAACGCCGATCTACTTACTAGTAAACGTCAAAGAGAAGAATACGGCGACGTACGTGTTTACAGACTTTACGAATCTCAGCGGTTGGGAGAGCCCTGGAGTAAGAAAACATTCCTAACATATCTGCCCTAAACATAAAATCCATGCTCACGATAGATTAGATTAGTTGGTCAATCGGTCTTTTGACTTCGGCTATTGGGTTCGTGAACTGGGACAGTGCCCTCCACATGGCAGAGGAGATGAAAGATGCGTCCAAAGATCTCCCAAGAACAAGTGAGTTTCACTGCTATTTCCGACTAGTTGCCAATTTATCTAACCGCGCGGTATATTCCAGTCTTGGTTAGTGTTTTTGGCAGCGCGGTTCTCACATTTCCGTGGATCATTGCCTTTGCCTTCTGCATCACCGACATTCAAGGGGTATTGAGCGGCCCCGTTGGATTGATCAGCCCAATGGCTCAGTTGTTTTACAATGTGTCGGGAGGAAATCAAGCCGCAACGATAGGCCTTACGCTCTTCTTGCCGCTCATGTCATTTTGTGGTACGGGCCAAGCTGTGATATCATCGACATCACGTGTTGTCTGGGCCTTTGCAAGAGACGGAGGTCTCCCTAACGTTTTTGCCAAAGTGGGAGAGCGAACCAAGGTGCCTACAAACGCCATTCTCCTAACTTGGGCCATCAACTGTGCCATTAGCTTGATTTACATCGGTAACGCGACTGCTTACTACGGTATCTCGTCCGCCTGTACGGTTGCGCTTGTTATGTCATACGCGTTCCCTCTCTTTATTAATGTTGTTTGGGGCTTCGAACACTGTGCTATCCCTCGAGGCGCGTATTCTTTGGGTCGTTTCCATCGCCCTGTGGCCGCAGTCGCCCTGGCTTGGTGCATCTACCTCACGATTTTCCTCTGCTTCCCCACCTACTATCCGGTATCGAAGGACAACATGAACTACGCTTCTGTCGTGATTGTTGGTGGTACTTCTGTGGCTACGATAAATTGGTTCTTGTACGGGAGGTCCCATTACGTAGGTACAATGTCAAATGTCGAGGGTCATTGATTGAAGGAAACCAGTTTCAGCATTCTAACTAGAATCATTTTACTATTTTCTATTATGAGCGAAAAACTGCGATCTAGACTAAATAGACTAGGTGGATATTCTAAAATCCGTTCAATGCGCCCCTGGTGATCGGAATTTTTGGTAAAGGGGGTTGAACAAGATGAGCGCAGTTGGAAACCTTCTCTGAATGTTGTTACTTAGGTATCGTTTAATTGTGTCATCCCAGAAAAGATGATAAACATAGAGAAAAGTGATACTTCAACATACAAGACATCTCGTAGTATAATATTTATTCGTCGATTGTTGAAATATTATAATAGCGTTGTCAGCATGCGACTTGTCCCTCTGAAACTTGGACTAGCCGCCATCAGCTCCAGATGGAGACGACCTCAAAGATGAACGGCCGAGTCTAAGCTAGAGGATTATCGTAGATACGGAATTTTCCGCATCGTTGGTAGAGGTTCAGTGGAAGAGGGGAAGAGGAGGAACCCCTCGCCTTAGCGTCGCTTATCTAGAACGGCGCCCGCGGACTGCGGCACACGCGACCATCTGGTGGCCGGATCAATATATGACTTGCGCAGTTTATCGCGAGTCGTTGATTGCATTGCGGGGAATCTGGGGCTAGTGACAGTTGGACCCCTCGATCGATCCAACCGTGGTGATGATGTTACAAATATGCACCCCGCCGGGACCGACGTCGACGGAACAGCCATTCTCCTTCCACACCAACCGAATAATCAGCCGATATGTCTGTGTCTCAAGAATTGCTAAACTTCATCTACGTCTACTGGAAGTGGGTGTTTCCGCTTTTTGGTGTCGCCTATCTTGTCTCAAACCGCTTCCAAAAAGGTCTACATCGAATTCCGGGGCCATGGCTCAACAGCTTCTCGACTTTGCCACGAATGTGGTCTGTCTACAAAGGGAAGCATCATCTTGAGGACCTTGAACTACACGCTCGATACGGCAAAGTTGTTAGGGTCGCTCCAAATCTTGTTCTGGTGTCTGATACCTCTGAAATCAATCAGATCTACGGCATTAACACGCAATTCATCAAATCGCGCTTCTACGATCTATCTGCGGTCTATGATAATGAGGGTTTGGTCCCGGATACTTTTGTGCTCCGCCAAAATAAAGCCCTGCATTCCCGGATGAAGCGCAACGCGGCCAATGCCTACAGTGTGAACGGTCTGATGCAGTTCGAGCCGTGGATCGACCCCGTTGTCACAAAGCTCATTTCAATCTTCGATCGCTATGCAGCAAGTGGGACAGCATTCGACATGGGTGATATGCTAAAACGTTTTGCTATGGATGCAGTCTGCAGTCTGACTTTCGGAAGCGACTTCAACTATCTGGAAAAGGGCGATGAGATGAAATTTTTGAAATCAATGTCCCTTTTTACCGCGTATATGTCAATTGTGAGTATAAAAGCCTATCTTCTCATAAACGGCAAATCTTTGGCCCACCACAAACTGAGAGGTCATCGACTAACATGATAAATACAGTTTGGACATGTAGCTTGGCTTCACCCTATTCTTTTGGGCAATCCCTATATAGCCAGAATCGTTTCTGGCGGTGATTCTTCCAACGATGCCATGTTGGAAATTTCTAGCCATGAACTGGGCAAATTCCGAGAATCGCCTCCGGCGGAAGGCGATGCCATGACATTTCTGAGCCGCCTCGCTTTGAACCAGAGCACAAATCCGAAATTGATCACTGACCGCGAGATCTTAACACACGCGTTTGGAAACATCTCTGCGGGTTCCGATACGACTGCAATTGCGATGGGCTCCGTCATCTACCATTTGCTTGTGAACCGAGCTGCATACAATCGTCTTTCTGACGAAATTCGCGGCCAGTTATCTCTACCTGTTGGTTTCCAGGAGGCCAATGCCCTTCCTTATCTGAAAGCGGTCGTGCAAGAGGCTATGCGAATGCATCCATCGGTGGGCCAAGTCTTGGGACGCATCGTCCCTCCTGCAGGGGCGACTGTTGGGGGCTACAAAATAGGTGCCGGCGCCGAGGTTGGAATGTCTCCATGGGTATTACATCGTGATCCAGAGGTCTTCCCGGATCCGGATTCCTTCAAGCCAGAGAGATGGATCCTTGGAGAAGGAGTGAGAGATGAGGAGCATCTCAGGCAGATGAACCGCTCATTCTTTTCGTTTGGCCACGGGACTCATACATGTACCGGGAAACATATCAGTCTAATGGAGGTGACAAAACTCATTCCTACCCTTTTGTTAAGGTACGATTTGGAGTTGGCCGAAGTTGGGCAAACTCTCAAGTTTAATAATTGGTGGTTTACCCAACATCATGACCTCAGGGCCAAAATAACTCGCCGGTAAAACTTTCAAATAAACACACAGCTGTCAAATCATTTGTCGTCGTATATAAAATCGAACAATAGAAGGTGATTATTTTATAACTCTAATAGTTTTACTAATAGTTTTAGAAAACCCCTACCAATTACAGGTTGTTAAATGACTTGATGGACCGATTCGAGTGACGGACCTGTCTCAGTATATCTCGCACTTGAGCCTTTTTCTCCAGACGAGTCTCGCTGATATTTCGTCCCGCTCCGGCCCTTAGATCGGTCATCACTCAGCGTTCGCGAGTGTCGTCTCCGCCTCGCCACTTCTTCCCAATCAGGCGCCGAATGTACAGATTCATAGCTTTGACTTCGTCGGAACCCGCGATCCGTGGCCGGTGTCGATGGTGTCGTGAAATCTCGCGTGGTTTTCGGCGAGGCGTAGTAATATCCCCAATCCTTCTCCCTATGCCTCTCCTGCCTAACCCTCTCCCTCTCCCTTTCCCTGTCCCTGTCCCTCTCCTGTCTTTCCCTCTCCCACTCCCGCGCTTTTCCTTTAGCTGAACTACGTCTGTCCACTCTAGACTCAAGGCTGTTACGATCGAAACTCCCTGTTCGCCTTCTTGGCTGATCTTCCGATGGCATCTTTTTCTGTCCCGACTTGAAGATGTCATACATCTGCTGGAGAAATTTTCTTGATGGCTCATGGGTTTTCGGGGGGTCCTGGTACCGATGCTGTTTTCGACCGCGATCTCCACGGAGCGCCATGGAGTGGTCCCATAGGAATGCTTGTTCATAGTCAGGAACCCATCGCTTCACGATGATGGCGGATGAATCATTCTTGGCGACGTTAGCAACGTTAGCAACGTCTCTGTTTAACTCTAAAGGGAAGACAAAGCAACATACCTCATCATATTGCCACGGAATCTCATATGCGTTCAGAGTTCTTTTAGAAACCCACTTCTTTGACATTCTAGTGACTGTTGTCTCCACGCCATCAATCACCATGGTCTCCCCGTTGTCGTTGAGAATCTCGTCAATCTGGCCGCCATCTACGCCCGTATCAGCCAAAGCACCCTTTAAATAATTTAGGTACCAGGCGTTCTTTTCCTTGATTTCCTGCCCTTTCAACTCCTCATCTTTGGGCAGAGGATTCTCTTCTAGAATAGCGCCAGGGTTTTCGATGCCGTATTTTGACATGTTCTTCTTGAGCCGTTCGAGAAAGGCCAGCTCCATAGCTCGTTTCTCCTTGGCCAGTCGTTTCTGATAATCCTCTTCCTGCATTATAGCCTTTTTACGAGACTCTTCCTCGCGAAGCTCCTTGACCGCCTCTCTTCTCAATATTTCCTCCTCCCCCAAGGATACTTGGGATGCCGCTGCATTAACAACCTTCTGAGAGCGTTGGTAAGGTTTCGATAGCTCCGGTTTCGGCTTTTGTGACATTCTTTGACTCTCGGACCTTTTTGAATCGGATTTCTGGTGTGACGGTACTTGTGGAGATGTGCTAATATAAGTTGCTGAAGAGTCCACATCATTGACTTGGGACAAGAGGTCAGCCTTGTTCAAGGCCAACTTATAAAACCTTACGATTTCTGCGCGAACTTGCAAGTAATGTGAGTTGGTAGGGCCGTTGAATTTGTTGAGGCTGAAGTGGTCTACCTCAAGACCATGCTTCGGATGGCCATCAAAGGTGGCGCTTGCTGCATCCACTATAAACTCAGTAATGTCAGTTCTTCCCACGACCTTTCCGAGTTTCGATGAACGCTGCTCGAAAAAGCACGAAATCTCGGGTCCGCCGTCCGTGCATAGGGTGATAAAGTCATCCGATACGTCGAGGAGACTACCAGTGTCAGAGGTCATTGTATCCAACACACTGGTTTCGAGATGCGTTGACAAGTCGGAAGACGCTGCAATGGCTGCTAAGAGAGCGCTCTCGCGTGTGAAAGACCTTGAGCCACGGTGGGGAGTTCCAAGAAAGACGACGCCAACTGATGAGTCGAATAAGCCTGGATACTTCTCCTGACGCATTTTGGCAAGATTTAGGGCCTAGAGGTTCGTTAGCGATGATCTTTCACTTGAAATGTTCGTTCCTGTCATACACGCTCGATCACCAAACCACCAAAACAATGCCCGATGAATATGAGCGGTCTCTCCAAGTCTTCCTGCTGTCTTATTAGCCAAGCCTGATAAAGTCGTGCAACCAACATACCACGCGCATCATGTTCAGACTGAGAAGTAGCTTGTATGCAATCGTAGAGAGCGATGTTCGAATAGGTGTCTCTCCCATCCAAAGCGAATCATAACCAAACCTTAGAATCCTCGCCTCGGGGACTGCCTGGGGCAGCATGTCCTTGTTCGAGAGCCAATTGATGCTCGATGTCTTCTCTTTCCAAGTAATATCCGGTATCGCCCCAAGACCATGGACGGCGACAATGTCAACGCGACCATCAGGGATGCCCGGGTTCATAACTTCAAGATTGAGCTGCTCCACCGGTACGGCCTGAAGTTTCTTAGTCCGTTGGTCTATGGTAGTATGCTTGGCGTTTTTGCTTGGACTCGGAGGCTGAGAAGGCTCTGCACTTTGTTGGGGGTTGGCTTTGGATTTCTCAAATGCCTTGTTCCGCTGTTTGATCTGCTCCTCGATGGATGAGTGTGATAAGGAACCGTCAGACTTGAATGCCGCTGTGTTGTTTTCAGAAGTAGTCATATTTTGTCTCTTAGCCTATCCAATGTCAGTAAATGGTGGATGGTGATATACTAACTCAGCGTGAGTAAAGTACGTACTTCGTCGAATAACTGTAGAGCATACGCAACAAATTCTTGTCTCTCGTCACTTGACGATATGTTTTGTGATGGAGGCCGAACCCGAGATCTCGCACGAAACTGCTTTTCCGTGCCCCTTTCTCTTCTCTGATAAACCTCAAAGGGATCTATATCAGAAGCGTATTTCGTGTCTTTACCAGAGTTGGACTTATCGCCGGACTTTTCCCACGGGGAAAACCCCTTGGAATATGATGTAAAACTCGCTCGAAGTTGCCGAAGTCTCACCATTCTGTCATAGTCTTCTCTCGCTGACTCATTAGACAAGAGTTCATATGCTTTTTGAACACGCTGAAACTCTTCCATCTTAACTTTCTTGACCTCGGGGTCTGAGAACTTGTCTGGATGGCATTTGAGGACGAGCTTGCGATGAGCGCTCCTGATTTCGGGAATTTGTGAATCGGAGCCAACACCGAGAATTTTGTATGGATCCGGCGGTAACGATGCCATGATGCAGTTGTCTGACGTTATCCGCCAGCGGCAGGTTTGTCTGGCACTGTAAGCTCCTTTGACGACGAGCCTTCATCTAGGTAGGTAGTGAGGGGTAGCGAGATTTAATCAACTTTGCAACTCGACTTGAGCGCCACCCCGAACAAGATGGGGGAGTTTCGAGTGTGAGTATAGAATAGGTCCAGTAGCTTTGTCGGGCACTGGTCTATGCGAATAAGGGCACCGACTGATATGTTCATTCAGAATGTGTAGATGTTGGGATCAAAGTCAAGCAGTCAGCCAGCGCAAGGCTGCCAAAGCAGAATTGATAGTGTCATCAGCTTACAGGGGTCCATGTGGGTGGCAGACAGGGGTTAGTCCATAGAGCTCACAAAGGTGAGCTTTCCTCAAATTCAACGGATTACGCAGGATGGTATAGATCAGCTCTTAGGGCACCCAACTAAAAACAATGATCTAGCATACACCTTCTGGAAGATCGAAGGAATCAGCCCGAGGCTCCCCTATGACAGCACTGACTCCCAAACCACGCTTAGCAAATGCTCTCCAAATCTCACAAGCATTCTCACCACCCGTCAAAGCCACATCAGCGTCGATGATGGCATCACGAGCTTGCACAAACGACGGATTACACGGCTGACTGAGAATTCAAGGTTAGTTCTCATCGTGACTTGCCTTGGCAATGACCAGGTGTGGTACTCAGACTTCCACTTACAGGGCGAAGCCGTCTGTGGTGAGCTTGACAGAGAGAAACTTCCCGTCAGTGGGCACACCATTGACCATGTCAGGACGGGGATTGTCGTTCTTGCCGTGCTTGTCTATGAGGTTCCACAGCATTTCATAGAGCATCGTACACCAGACGGTCCCTACTTGGTGGACTCTGTTGAAATCATTGACTGAAGAGTAGGTGTACTCGTTGATCGTCATGTCAGTAGAATAAAGCCTTAGTCGGAAACCAGTTGAATTATTCAAGCCCCAAGCAGACACGGCATAGGTCGAGTTGCGGTCTGCTTCAGGCTTCACAGTCAGAGCCGCCGCATAAAAGTCGCTCCATCCTTCAGCCATCCCGTCGGGCTCGAAAGCGCTGAGACAATCTCTATTATCGGGCGGCCCCGTCATTCGATCGGACACTATTGAAACATGTTAGTATGGTGTGAGATATTTTGGCACATGGCATATACTTGCTTCCGTGAGTGTACTCATGTATAAGAATGCCCGCTTCAAAGGAGCTGTCTCTCATAGGATCGGTTTTGTCGAATGGGTATATCCTCATTTCTGGAGACCTTCCATCGACTTCCTGGAAGAACACCCCATTATTGAATGCGCCGTTCTTTTGCACACTCACTATGACTGCGTCATTTCCCAAACCCCCTTCATCATTGTTATTCATTTGGAAGTTACCTGCCTCGGGTGTGAAGCCTAATATATAATAAAGATCGTGGAGCATGTTGGTTGTGTAAAAGGCCTGCGTTACACCAGCCTCGTAAAAGTCCCAAAGAGTCCCTGTATCCGGCACATAAGGGAAGATGAAAGACTCGTTAGGACTTGTGGCTGGGTGTAGGCCACCAAGTATAGTGGGATGTGCCCCAACCACAACATTATTGCCAGTTGTATCATAGGTGTTGGTGGTAGTATTGAGGGGATTGTGCCAACCGAAAGGAGAGGCTTTTAAATCTTGCGGATCCTCAATTTCTGCTCTGACTCCGTCGGCGGGACTGCCAACACCAAATGGACTAAAACTTAAGTAAGCATAGGTAAGTTTGAAGACTTATCACCAGAAAGATATTACTAGACTTCATAGATCCAGCGATCGACATGGTCAAGAACTGCTAGGACTGTTGCTGGTTCATTTTCCGCATCCACATATGATGAGTACGAAATGTCCTCTGCATCCGTGCCAACTTTCCATGTCAGGGCGAGTTTGCCATCCGGTTTAGCAAGATATACCAGCCTAGTCGTTGGATCTCTTGTCAGACCTCTCACGTTGCGAAAGCTATAAGACTGGCTAGATTGGTCATTTAGCTCCACGTTTGTGTTTGAAGTAATGTCAAAGGGTATCTCCAGGGTTCTTCTAATGGCCTCGAGAGCTTCCACCGGAGGGAGACTCAGAGGTTTGCTAACTTCTGGACTGAATTCTGGAAAGCTCCCATTAAAAAATGAGTTTCCGAAAGAGAAAACCTGACCAGTTTGGTCAATGTTCACATTAAATAGTGCGTTATCGATCTCAACATCATGGAATGTTTGCTTGAAGTGTACATGGCTGATTCCGTTACTACCGGTATAATGGCCCGGGACGATTTGAATGTAGCACCGGGAGCAACAGTCTTGACCAATTCGGAGGCTGCTTCCAAGTAGTTGGCGGTCTTTTGGAATTTTCGAAGATTCAGAGAGGATTTAGCCTTAGCGTTATTGACGTACTCTGTTGAGGTTTGAATCCGAAGGGCTTCCAGATCAATTGCCCCCACACAGCTAAACAGCTTGGTTGCAAGAATGAGGGTAAGCAGATACATCTTGGAATTAGACAAGGATAGCGCTCGGGAGGTTGTCATCCTTCTAGACTCTGCCATTTTATATATATTTACGCCCCAGATCAATCCAAGGATCGCGACTGAGGCAAGTGGTATCAGTTTACTTTGCAACCTACCAAACAGGCAGGTAGCTGTGTTTGAAGGGCACCTCTGGGCAACGCACACTTCTTTCCGCGTCTATACATTTAAACTGATACTCAAGGTTGAATTACTCTTCTTGGTAGGTAATAAGGCGCAATAAGCCCTCCGCCTATCCTGTGTGGGTGGAAGATGATAACTATGAGTGGCCAGAGTCCGAGTCTTAGGTAGTCAATGCATAACTGTGAATGTAACTATGCTATGAAACGTTACGGGGACGCATCGCCAGAGCTTAATCAACCGGCCATCTTTATCTGCCCTATACTGTGCCAGGCATGCCAACTGGTTTCAAACGAGGGATGAGAACTAGAAGCCTCTCCTAGTGTTTTGATTCTGGAACCAGGCCAATAGAATGATCTTCTTTCATTAATAGGTAGTAGTCTAGAAATAAGAAAGAAAAAATCAATTCTTGGTGTACCACACATTTTGTCCCCAATTCGCCCCATCTATTCATCACGCATCAAGATTTACTGTTATTCCTATAGCAGTGCGGAACAGCCCCGTGGTATGGCTAAGCCTTACCCCATTTCAGGAATTTCAATCTTTCACGCAGATGCATTATCTTCCAAACGTTCCTTTACCTCAACATCTCGATCGTGTAGATATCGCATCACGAGAACAGTGACGGCAGCTGCAGCACCGAAACCGGCTGTGATGTAGTTACCAGTGACGATGTACGGCTGTTGGCTCGTTGGGAAGGTGAAAATGGGGACCCAGGCTGTGAAAATGTATGCAAAAGCGTTCATCTATACAGTCGTCAGTAGGAGCTCGAAGGAAGTGGAAAGGAAGACAGACCATAGCGGAGATGTACGCCCTTTTCTCTGGGTCATCTCTGTTGACCTCATTTACCCAGGTCCAGCTAAGGCCAGCTGCTGTGCTCCCCAGAGATGTGAGATCTGGTCACGGTAAAGTCAGATAAGGTTCCTCATGTATTCATGAAAATTACGTACAGTAGATGGCCCAACGCGTTCCTCTGTTTGGTGGGTGGACAGGCGTAGCAGCCAGCGCGGTAGGGAAAATGATAGCCATGATGCATGCAAATAGCATACCTGGCCATCTGGCCGATCTAGGTAGACTGTCCGAGATCCAAGAATTGATAAGAGTCGCGAAAATGGTAATGATATTTATCTAGATGATATTAGCCAAGATTCTATTTCATGTCAGGAGGAAACTTACACCAAGAGGAATGATATTAATCTCAGCGACAGAAAACACCGGAGGTTTTCCTGTGACGTTGTAACTCTTTACCCAGAAGATCACTTGAACGGTTAGTACTTCAGAGCCAGGGCGCCTGAGTAAGGTAACTTACTAGATCCGCCTGCTTGACCAAACTGAGCGAGGAGGGCAAAGAAGAGGGGAACTTTATTTTGTTAGTCACTGACGATTATGGTCAAACTTAGTTTACTTACAGAGGTAAACGTGCCAAGTCGCATGCCAGCGCTTGATATCTTGCCATTTGAACAAGCCAGTACGAACTTTCGCTTCGGTGGGCATCCGAGCACGGGCCAAGTCAACTTCCTTTTGCGTGAAGATCCTACGGGAGGTTAGCAATATGACAGCTTATGGAGATCACAAAACTTACCAATTGGGCTTTGCTCGGCTTGGAAGCTGGGGCATTGCGACCGCGGTCCAGACTGCACAAGGGAACGAAACACATCCGCATACGCTGCAATTGTTAGCCTGATGCTTGCAAAGTGCCAGGAGCTACTCACATGAACATCCATCGCCATCCAGGAAGACCATGAACTCCATTTAGTCCGCTATACACCGCTGCCATCAGGAATCCTGAAAACAGTGGTCCGACTCCGGTAAATACTTGAATCAAAGTATTGCGTCGAGCTAATTCGTGAGGTTTGTAGTAGCTTGAGCACACGTAGATGACAGCTGGAAAGTGGCCAGACTCAAACAACCCAACACTGCAGGAATTAGCAATATCCGGTGTGATCGGGAGACAAAAGGACATACAAGAAGCGGAAGACATAGATCTGGTTAACATCCTTGGCGCCGGCAGTTGCAAAGGTGAAAATGGTCCATCCAAGTTCAAGAAAGGCGATGTATAAAGGGGCATTGACCTAAGTTCATATTAGAATACAATCTACAAAAAAAAGAACAAACAACTTACTCGAGTAAGAATAAGGTTCGATGGAATCTGTCCAAAGACGTATGCGGCACTCCAAATGGCGTTGGCATAATTGAGCTCGTTTCCGTAAAGCGAAAGGTCTTCCTTCATGCCACTGTCTACACCGTCTGTTAACCAAATTCAATCTCTACATTCGAGACAGTGACATACTAAAGGCGTTTGTGATGTTGGCTTGGTCGAGATACCGGCACATGACACCCAGAGCTGAGGCCGATATAAGCGTCAGGTCCAGCTTGGTGAGGAATTGGGCTTCCTCCTTGGGAACATCGAGTGCTGCAGTTGTCAGTCAAAGTACCTCCATTTTCACTAGTCGTAGAGCTTACAAGACCAGAGATACGATCTCCATGACCGTTTAGATTCGACATATCCCGAATCCTCCGCGTCCAGAGGCCGTATCTTTGACCCAGGGCCGTTGCCGTCGCTTTCGCTAACGACAACGACGCTTTTCACGTCTTTTTCATACGGCTGTGACATTTTGACTTGAGCTGATCACCTCCTGTCGGGGCCTTTCTCTCTGCCGCGGATATACGGCAATCTTAAATAAAACTCAAAGCCCTACCCGACGACTTACAAACGCAACAATGTGGGATGGTGTCGCCTTCGGCGGGGCCCATGGCGACATCGAGGGGCGGCGCTGGGATTAGACAATAACCTGATCACGTCGAGTGCGCTAATTGTATCCCAACTCCACACCTCGTCTTGCAACATAGGCCGTCTGCCAATCTCGGTTGAGAGGGAGATAACAGACGGCGCAGAATCTTCGGATCGTGCCACCAGCTGAAAACCGTCCTGTGTCCGATGACATGCTTACAAAACGTGTGATCAACGCTATTCGATCGGAAGACTGCGCGGCTCTCCCCAAGCCTCTGTTTAGCCTGCTCTAGCAGTGATATCTATTGATTCTCGACATTTAGCGCCGTTACAGATGGCAACATATCAGTCGTATATTGTGAATATCCCAAGGGTTTGGTTCCAGATGCAGTCCAAGCGGAAGAAATGTGCGTGACATTGATGGCTCCAAGTTCTGGGCTTTGTGCTTGACGGTCCGAGGCCGGGGCCCACTACAACTCCATGTCCACGGTATATTAGACCTCTTAAAGCTTCATACAACGTTAATGGCGGTGTATCCTTATCAATAGTTGCTGGTGAGAGAAGCAGTTCGTGCTCTATCCCCCTGTCGCGGCTAAGGCGGGTCAGTAAGTCTTAATTTTCGCTTTGCAACAGAGTTGTTTCATGGTGGAACCGACACGACCTCTCGACTAATTCTGTACATCCCAGTATCGCATATGTTAAACAGTCACGGTATTATCTCATAGCATGGGAAAATTCAGACACGTCTAAGTGTTCTCAGGTTTTGTGTCGAGTATCCCGTCGCATCACTCGATTCTCTTGGAGGAACTCCCATCAAAAATAAACAGCAAATGAGCCCTCGGCTTTTCACATGAATAAGTCAGATAATAGGACAAATTTCCTTTCCCGTTTGAGTGATGGCGAATAATTTGCCACCGAGCAAAGAGCGCTATTGCATCTTAATGCATCACTTGTGACGCTGAAGCTCTACGTCCACCGAGTCTAGATTATCGATTCATGGCATGATTAATAATAAGGCTAGAGCACCTGCGGCAAATCCCGGATGATGAGATTTACAATTGGCTTGAGATATCCTGCTGGTGATCTTCTTGTGTGCCACGGTTACCTTCCTTCTCTCCGGTGGTGACTGAAAAAGTCGGTTAGACTTGAGAATAGAGCTTATGCTTCATTCCACCTATGCGAGACCATTCAACATGTAGTTCCTTTTTTTTTTCTGTGCAAACTTACATGCGACTCAAGCTTAGCACCCTCCACATCAGCAGACCTTGCTGTAAAAGTCCCTGTGACATGTCGAATCTGCAACTGTCATATTGCCGGATCAATATTTGGCATTGCTTCATTAACTGATGATAAGGTTCCTTGGGTTCTTGAGGATCATGCCTCAATATCTCATTCCTGGATAGCCTTCAAAGATGGAGCGCCAATGTAAGCAAACATTTAATGGTACTTCGAGCGCCAGAATGACGCAAAGTGCGATCATACATGTACCCAGGGGCATGGCCAATCGACTTGAGCCTGTCGATTTCGGAGGAGTCTGGTATTCTACAAGCCGGATTACGTTTGGTGTTCTTCTCCACATACATTTTGTCATAGGAGTAGAGCTTGACAGAGTTCTCTCCATGGAATCTGTATCTGGGGGTAAATTGGGTCAACTGAAGCCACTGGGGTAAGCGTTTCTTTTTCCCTATTGACTTAATGATTACGCTATTTACGAGCGTCCACAAATTGTCAACTCGGACCTATCGCAGGATAATTCATTGCTTGTAACGGGAGTATCTAATTCCTAAGATCTTAAAGGAGATTTCTAGTAAAATCGAACTAAACAAAATGTTACAAAATGTGGCAAAGCAAACCGGACACCCTCTCAGTCTCACAATCCAGCTCTTTCGGTCAAAGCGACGGACGGTAAAGTTGCAGCAATGATACTTCCCCGGGGAGCTTTGGCGATAGTACATCCAAGACAATGTGAGCTGTTCAAGAAATAGAGAGGCTGCGACCGAGAAATAGCAAACTGCGATACAACCAACCATCTAATCGCATTGTCTCCGATGATGTATACTGTCGTCTCCTCACTACCCTCCGCGGGGGGAGCGAAACCTGCAAAATGCGCTTGAATTCTCTTATTCTTCTCTGTCGCCCTGCATCTCTGGCAACACGCAATACCCGGGACCGGGCGCTTTGCCATTCCGACTGGCGATCTCTGGCTCCTGAAACCATATATCCTGTGCAATGTTGGCGTGTCTGACTTACTGGTATCGAATGTTAGATATTTCCACCCATCCCTTGGACTACCTGGCAAGTCATCTAGGGCAGGTTGTGCGCTATTCAAGGTGGAAAAGAATCCACCCCTTGCCGCACGACGAGGCTGATTAATTCCCATTACGAGGCCCATGATGTAGCCGCTCTCCACAACCGGCTTTGTTGATGTTCGAGAAGGGCGAGGCCAATCTAGTACTAGAAATCCTGGGCCGACTCCGAAGTTCTCACCGCGAAGTACGGCGTGGACTGTATCTCTATAACTGAACTTGGTGGCGGTGACCGGCTGGTATCGATTCGTCTTCCCTGCCTCGCACAACAAGGTTTCTTGCAGAAGGCTCATTAACATCTGATCCCAATCAAGGAGAGATGGGTCTTTGATCGTTGTCGATGTCCCCTTCAGTCCAAAAGTGGGAAGGATGGAGCAATAAAATAGGAAATCCTCCTCGGCAGATGTATCTATGTCGATTAAGCCAAACTCCTTGAGATCAAAACATGTCTTTCCGTTCATCAATTGTACCGCGGAGATAGATCTTCCACGGATTGTGTAGGTGTATATCGTAGCTCTTCGCAAGGCCTCCTTGTTTCTATTAAGACCATGTCGGGTGACAACCTTCTCGCAGATTAGATTGCCACAACACTCGCAATTTTGTGCCGATGACCGAGTGCAGGGTCTGCGCATAAGCCTGAGGATATCTTTAGGATTCGCAGCTTGGTCCAGAGCTTTGGAACGAAGCATGACAAGCCGGTTCTCGTCAAATATAGGGATCATCCCCTGGCACATCAAAGGCCACAGTGAATGTGCAACGACCGACGCCACACGCGCCGCCTTATAACCATTCAGCTCCCGAGCGAGACCTCTGCGGTATGGTAAATTGTGCGGCAACTTCGCGTTGGGGAGAGTGTCAGGGTCGACGCTGATGACCGGGTATCCCGAGACGCAGCAGCACTGGGGTGCATACTCAAAGCAAACCAGACAAGCCAGCTCGAATTTCCAAATAGACGGGTCCAAGACGTCAGTGCGATCACCCTCTACACGGGTCCTTATTGATCGTCCGCCTTTGCCCAGCAGGTACAAGGCAGTCTCTGGAAGGACGTGTAAGCTCTGAGTATGGTAAAACGACGCTGTTTCCCTTGTTGATCTACTGCGAGAACCAGAATTTGATTCCTCATAGTCCGGCGGTGGCTCATCTGCGAATGAGTGCCCGTGTGAAGACTCTCCGCTTGCTTGGTACGGTGGCGGAAGATCACCCGGATCGTCAGCGGAACCACCGTTAACAGGCGCGGATGAAGATGCTTGGGACGAGGGCCCGGCAAATGCTCGACTTGACGCCATAACAACCAGAATACCCATTAGTAACACTAAGATGGGGAAATAGTTTACAGAAGATGTAAGTGTCAAGTGATAAATTGAGGGTTTTTTTAAGAGTATTCCCCTCGTGCGCCAAACTTGGCTGATAACAAAACACAAGAACAAAGATCCCTGTATTCAGCTTGGGGGCTGTGTGAAATCAATGTCTTGGCTCAGATATACTGCCACACACACGTCTCTTTAGTCGGGCGTACGTGAAGAGTCGATCAGTTTTCCGGCGCAGATCCATCAGGATTGAGGAGAGGAAAATAAGCTTAAAGTGGCGATAAATAGCACTGCTTTTGTTTGCCCTGAATCTGCCACGACTCACTTCTACACACCATACACGAGATCAGGTGATAAGCCACCCACTGGACCGGTCGTAATTAACAAAGTATATCCTAATGAGAGTTTGACTACAAGGTAAAAATCAGCAATGGAAGAGGCTACACCCGATAGTTTAGCACGATGATACGAAAGGCAAAAATAGCCTTTTGCTTCACTCGCTCAAGGCTTCAACCCATTGGTACAAATGAAGGCCTCTGTAAAGTTTCATGCACTAATAAACTATACAACTTCACGTTGATTATGGTGACAGGAGCTACGGTATTAATTAACTACTAATATACTTATTAAATGCCCCCCTGTCTTTTTACAATCCAGTAACCAGTAGACGAAGATAGAGAGGTATAGGGTAGCTTAGAAAATATGTGATTTTCGACTATGAGTTGGGGAATCATGGTTCTGGCGAGCGCTACCAAAAAAGAGCATAAAAGGTGTTCCCTCCAATGGGCGTCTTGGGTGAACACGGACTTCCCTGACGTACATAATTTGGGCTTGAAAGATGGCTGCCACAGAGAAGGGTGGGATAAAAGACATAAGTAGTCTCCTTGACTTATACCCGAATTATCAGCATCCCTTATTGCATTGGCAGCGCTTGGTAAAGCTACTGCAATCAGAGAAAGCTTGCCAAGGCTGTTGAACTCATTGTGAACGCTTGTGTCGAAGGGGAAACAGTGGTAAGAATTGCGAAAGCTTGGACAGGTTGTGTGTGAACAAGGATTGCTTTCAGGGGATCGGCCTCCACATCGGCCACATCTCCGGTCGCAACGAACCAGATGGCTCGCACCTCGTAGAATACACGCGGAGATTTCTTACCAGAGTCCGGCTGCCCCATGCACGGATTCAGGTCGGGGCTCGACTCTCGATTTGGCAGATGGTCTCTCTTTCCTGGTTCTTGGTACCGAAGGGTTCGCATTAGCCGCCTCGCATCCATTTGAATCTCATCTGGGTCCCGGGGGGAGGGTAGGGGTTGGCTAGGCGAACGTACAGGGAGGTACCAGCAGATTCCCCTTGACCGACATTAAATCAGCGTATACGTATCACGTAAGCGTGTAGCGAATGCTAGTCAGGCCGTTGAGATGCGGTAGGTAGCCGGTAGTGCACCCATGCTGGAAAATTGTCAATGAGGAAAGATGTGACGAAGACCCCAAGATCCAGAATGGTAGCTTGACATTGAGCCCCTGATAATACACGGGGAGGCAGGCTAGTTGCCGGCTGGCGATCCCTGGCAAACGGCCTGCAAACGGCCTAAGAACGGATCGTTCCGCAGTCACAAATTACAGAGCACTGTGGCTAACAAGGGGGACAAACATGGGACCCCGGCCGAGGGCGGGTCAGAAGTCATGAATCGGCCAACCTCTCTCTCGAGTCATAACCAACAGCCAATGATCAATGTACAGTACCATGCGTTACATTTAGGATGTCACTGCAGCCTGGGTGGCACACACTCACGCACTTCGTAATTCGCGAAGTGATCGTCGCTGTTATTTTCTATGGGCGGTGAAAAGGTTTGAGTGCAAAGTGAAAAACAGCAATGGAGGAGGCCAGGCCCGACATCTCAACACTCTGAAAATAGTTCCCTTTCACAGAGATGTCCATTTCGGTGTTGGTACCAAAGCTAGCTGAAATGCCCATTGACTCTGACATGGAACACCATAGGCCATCTGGAACTGAGTCATTCTCGCCAGTATACGCACGAGAGTAGTTTTTTTTTTTCCGTAAAAGGGGGTCTTGCCCATACCCCTTATAGATGTGTGCACATAGCGCCTTGATGATCTCTGTGACCAAATTTCCCACACAGAAGAGGGCTAGTTTGAGACTCTTTCCACAATGGAACCGGCGTTTTGAGCCTTGACCTTCCCCGTCGTAGCTTCTCCAGTGATAGGCATTGAGGTTCAAACCGTTGCGTTGGATCTTGCCCCTTCTAGAAGACGGCACATCCTAGTCGGATGTCGCTGCAATGTCGAGTTCTGCTCCCAGGGGCTCGGGAAGGGTTATATTTTTCGTCCTTCTGTATGTTTAATAAACAGCGCCATCGCTGTATGCATGCCAAGCTGTGTCGCTTCATTGCTCTCTTTGGGAATTTTCTTATCATTTGTTTCTTTCAAACGATTCCTTGTTGCGCTACAATCACCGGTCTACTTGGGCTCTAAGCCATGGCTGGCTTCCTGGTTCCTGACCACTATGTCGTGGTAGAGCCTCCCCTTACTGACCTGTTGGTCGCCAGCATCATTTGGGGGTTCACTCTGGCAGTGGGGATCTTTTCTGGTCACAAAGCGATAAAGCAGACTTACGCGCAATGGAAACGGTCAGGTCGTGCAAAGCCGTATATCTTCATGGTTTGGGCGGAATGGATTGCCTCTACAGTAATCGGTTGCTTGGCTTGGTTGTTTCTGTGCGGATACATTGCACCGAGGTATGTAAACAGCGACCGTGTGAGTTTAGAGAGATCACTTGACTAACGAGATGTTGTGTAGCTTTTGGATTTACTTTACGTTTCGTACGAACAACCCCTCCCAACGACCCGAAGAATGGAATTCAGCTGACAGCCTGCAACAGTTTGCCTCTGGGTTGTGCAGATCCAATGCATTTGCGGCATCATCATCAACCGAATCTCCCTCCTCATGGTCGACCGAAGAAATGCAACCAAGATTCGCTGGATTACAGCCATTGTTCTCGGTCTCATCAACATTAGCGTCTTTGTCATTTGGATCCCCGCGCAACTGCAAATATCCCAAAAATGGATTGATATCAACCATATCTGGGATCGCATAGAGAAAGGCTTATTCTTGCTGATTGACGCGGCCCTTCACGTCTACTTCATCTATCTCATCCGAGTAAAACTGATTGCGAACGGCCTTGAAAAATACATTCCGTTGTTACGATTTAACATCTTCATGGTCTTCGTCTCTATGAGTCTTGATATCATCCTTATTGGCACAATGTCCATCGGAAATGGCTTCATGTAAGTTCCTCCCTCAAAACATCAAAACATGAAGAATTCGGCAACTAAAAAAGCCTTAGCTACGTTCAATTCCACCCCCTCATATACATGCTCAAGCTGCATATCGAAATGAACATCTCTTCCTTGATCGTGCGGGTTGTGATGGCAACCGGCGACAAGAGCTCGTACATCAACGAGTACCAGCAGGGCACTGAGCTACAGTCCAAGTCCAAGAGCGGCAACACAAATAGAGCTGGACCTGGAGCTTCCAACCGAACTGGAGGCGGTATGGACTCCTTGTTCTCGTCGGGGAGAAACGAAGTGCACATCGATGCTGATGGACAGGCTGCGGGCAAGAAGAACGCTCCCCGGGGAGGTATCACAAGGGTCATACAAACGCAGGTCACTGTGGCATCGAGACATGACCAGGATGATGCAAGCTCCGAGTCATCCATGCGGCAACTGAAGAACAGTACCCAGCATTACCATGACACCCTTTAAGCCAAAAGCGTTCTAGGTAGCATTGGGCCCGCAAACGGTCTTTCTCGTGCGGCAACTATCAGCTTTCATGTATCAATAATTAGACTAGTAACTGCATACAAGACCAAGCCTTCTAATAGCCCTTACTTGCAGCAAGTAGGGTATCCTTGGCTGGTCTGTAAAGCGGAGCATCAGTCGGAAGACGAGCAGTGTTAGGTCTAGCTTAACTTGACACATCATAAACGCTTCTCAACAGGGCTCGCAAGCGATGAAAGATACTAGACTATAATTAGCTGTAGCTCGAGACGCGTACTAACGGTAGACCCTGGAGATCGGCGTGGTGCATTGCCTGTGTGGCAACCAACAAGACGTTTTCGTTGAGCAACGCGATACCCGGCGAGTCAGCTTCCCTTGCCCACGACTGCCGCACCCATGCATGGCAGTTGGCGGTATTGGAGTGTTACCTACCTGCCGTGTCGAGACTGGCGCCACTTGATACCTCAGAATTCTAATGCATGGCTGGACTCAGAACATGGGTGAACCAACAGACTTGTATCCTAACTGGGCTGCACTACGTGCGATGACCGTTGGCCACTCCATTATTCATTTCGGGTACCGGTCC